GAAATGCAAATAAATTGAAACTAATTTATATCAAGCTATATCAAGCTTGTATTTATAGCTTTTTTTTAATTTAAACTTAACACAAATTGTCCTTATTAGTTTTTTTAATATAAGGGCGATTCTACGAATGATTTTTTCTACAAATTTGTCTCCAAATCTATATTTCTCTTTATCAGTTGCATTACTGCCCATGTTTCATGTATTTAATAGTAGATTTTACCGAGATCTACATATTGTTCTCACCCAAACATTAAAAATGGTTGATTAAAGCATTATTTACATTCTACGAAAAATTACTCTGTTTCACATGAATTTTTTCGCCCAAATTTCCAAAATGTTTTCATTAATATCTTTAAGGTGGTAAAATTTCCAGTAATACTAAGTATACAAAGTTATAGCTTAAAGTAAAAGCTTCAAAACGATGTCAAAAATTAAAACCATGAATTTCTCAAGCCATAGCTAAATAATTTGAGTGCAGATGTAATCATAATTCGCAGTTTAACCAATAGAAAAGGAAATGAGAATTAGATTTTTGAAAAACTATGCACAAGTGAAAATAAAATAATTAAAAAATTTCATGCAATTGACACGAATTATTTTCATGAAACATTTTCGTAGAATTGCCCATAAGCTTACGTGAAAAAATCAAATTCGAGTCAATTCGAATTAAAATTTTTCAGATTTTTTAAAAATTATTTCAATTAAAATTACTCATTTTTAAAAACTAAAGTACAACATTTTAGATTTTTTTTTAAATTTTTCGATTTTTCTATACTATACTTTTATTTTATTTTTGACTAATTTCCTTACAAACTAAAGGTATCAATTAGAAATTTCTTTGACATGAATGAAACTATTTCTGCCTTAGCAGCATTAGTGCTTTATGTTTTTGTAAACTCTTTCTTTTCCATCAGCTAAACTTGGTTTAAAATGATAAAATAATAAAAAAATAATATTTTAAATTCTATAACCTTTAGTTAAGTTTTTAAACATTTTCCTTTAAATTTTTATAATGATTGCAAAATCTTTTTTTTTTTTTTTGAAAGTATGAGTATAACGTATTAATGGACCACATGTTTAAGAGACCTATAACTATTTAGATTGAAATTATGCACTAATTAATTTGATTAAAAATAAAGTACAGAAAAGTATGAGTAAAGTGCACTAAAGTGTAGCAAAGTGTAGTAAAGTTAAGCAAAATGTACTAAAGTATACTAAAGTAAAGTAAAGTGAAGTAAAGTGTAGTAAAGTATAGGTTAGTGTACATAAGTAAAGTAAAGAGTAGTAAAAAAGAGTTAAGTGCAGTAAAGTTTAGTAATTGCAGTGATTGTGATACATTGTATTGTAAGTGTACTGAAACATAAGTAAAAATTTATAAAGTAAATAAGTAAAGTAAAGAGTAGTAAAAAAGAGTTAAGTGCAGTAAAGTTTAGTAATTGCAGTGATTGTGATACATTGTATTGTAAGTGTACTGAAACATAAGTAAAAATTTATAAAGTTGAGTAAAAAAGTAGTGATTGTAGACATAGTGCAGGGAGTTCTATGGCCTTGGACGAGAGAGAAAAATTCAATCGATGTCAATAATTTTTAAAAGAAATTCAAGACTGTTTATACAAAATCCCTCAGGAGAATCTCTTTACACTTCTGATATCAATTTCTGTCAAGTAAAAATGCGCCAGTGTCATTTCCACTGGGGATTCCTTCATTTCTTCCATTTCATTTAAACTTTTTTATAGCTCCAAAATAGGTTTTATTTGTGTTGTGGAATTTTAAATAATAAAAAGAACTCCACCCTGGATTGTCAATAAAGTAAAAGTTTATTCCTCCCGCAATCATGATAAATCACCTTGCTTATTGTTCCATAGACGCAAAAAATATGAAAAAATACAAAAAGTTAAAGGCATGATTGGCTCTTCTCTGACATTTAATCGACTGATATTTGATATGTTTTGTGAAACGAAGGGGAAAACAAAAGGAATTGGAAGTGATGTGACTTAAAATTTAATTAAATAATCGCGATTCACTTGAATGCCTCTTAATCAGTTCGATGAGGTGAAAATTCAAGTGTTGTGAATCAAACGAAGATTCTTATCGTGTTCAGTCAGTATTACTTTTATGGCTATGCCAATTCTGTGCTTAATTGCATGCAATACTTTCTGTTATTGTGGTCGATATATTCACACAATATTTTCATTAAATTAAAATGAGGGAAGATATAAACGAGGAGCAGGATTAGTTGTGGACCCATGAAATAATAAAATACACATGATGATGATAATAGTAATGGAATGCTGCTCTTTATGCTTTAACCTATCCCCTCCAAAAAAAAAGCAAGATAAATGTGCAGCTTCAACATAAAGTGATGGAAGGAAAAAAGCATGTTTTTATTGTCGAACCATCATCATGAAAAATAAGGGGGGATAAAAATATCTCTTTAAAGATATTCCTGAAAAAAATATTAAATGGAAAATTGTTTCCTAAGGTTTTATTTAAATTAGAAAAAAAGTTCCTCTTTTTTCAGCATTGTTAAGCTTATGGGTGCTTTGAGGATTATGCCTAATTTCCGTTAAAGATGAAGATATTAAATTTTAATTTTTTGGCAGGTTTTTCATAGAGGAGGGGTTGATGTTGTGGCTTTATAGAGCATTTTTTTATAAATTGATATTAAAGGTTCTAATTTAAATTATTAACGGACTTTAAATATTTGAATTTAAATTTTCATAAAGTTTAAGCTTTAATAGGTTTTAAAAATTGAATTATTCAAAAGTTTGAAATTCTAACGGATTTTTTTAAGTTTTTGTGGAAATTCAAAATTCAAAAAACCGTTATATTTCTAATAGTATCTTTTCCAAGCCAATTTCAAGAACTTCTAGGATATCTTACTCTTGAGTCGAAAAATCGATGTTTTCATACAATCTTAAGTATAAATAAAAATTTGCCTGTTACTAAGTATCTCTTGAAAACACGCTGAAATTAAGAAATTAAAAATTATCTTTAAAAACAATCTATCAGACTAGTCTATCAAAATTTACGCCCTACACATCCACACACGCATGCCCTTCACTATTTCCTTTCTATTTATCTCTCATACTCAATTAAAAAGCAGTAAAAAATATGAATTTATGCTAACGATCTTACTGATTATCATACATATGCCTCATAATAAATTCCATATTAATTTCGTTCCAATTCATCGATTTCTGCGTAAATAAATATTGAACTGATGAAATGTAAACAGCCTGAGAAGGAGAAAGATGTAATCATTGCAAAAATAAAAGTATTCATTTATCTGCCGGAAACAAATCGAGAAAATTGCGTACTTTATGCTCATTTCTTTTTTCTATTAATTCATTATGTAAATATTATTCAAGTGACTGAGAAAAAAGGCAAGTCCGAATGAACGACATGAGGTTATTGATTAAATTTTATTGATGCCAATTTGATTATTTTCTTTTGACTCATTGATGACATGTCGTTAAATTAACATTTTCCAGATGACTTCTGAATCATTCTTGAAATATATGCGGGAAATTAAATTGAGTGCTGTTAAAGAATAAAGTTTGTAAATTGAATGAAGATTCATTTGTATAAATTATCTATTATGAGGATTTCTTAATTTTATTGGCAAAATCTTGAATAGACGAGTTTCATTAATGCATGAAGAATGTTGTTATAGCTTTAAAGATTGACGTGTTTGAATTTTTGAATGTTTAAATCTTTTTTTTTTCAATTCGATTTTAAAGTTAATTACTTTTTGTTTAATTATTTTTCAATGTGAACGTCAAATCGACAATGAAGCGTGAAAGATTACAATGAAATAGTTTTCAGATGTAATTTGTTAAACATGCTGGGCAATGATGCCTGCATTAATAATTAAATTTGTTGGTATTGTCCAAAAAAAAATTGTGAAATGCTTCCTTGAAACTTTTGTGGGATTAATTGACAAGTTAGAAACTTGCGTGAGAGTTAAGAGGTGTCTAAAGCGCATTTTTATAGCTCCTGAAACTTTGTTCTTATATGATCCGACTTTGAAAAATTTACAACAAATTCTCTCAACACAAAGTTTGGTAAATCTCAACTTTATCAATTTAACTTAATTTTTGCGGCAAATTGTCAATTCAACTAAGCCCATACCCCACCATATGCCCTACTCCGTTCATTTTTCAGTGCACTCGAACTCATTTACATGAATAAACTTTCAATAAACTTTAAAACTCTAAACAATAAATCAAGATTTTTATAATAAATATCAAAATGAACGTCATAAACAGTAAACCTCAAAAATAAAATAAAATATTGATTATTAATGACTCGTAATGACTTGATGAACTCAGTAAATCGTGAAAATTAATAAGCAACCACAATCACTTGCAAATTGGTTTTGAGTGTCAGAGCTCATTCATTCGAATTACAATATTGTCTACAAAAGAATTCAAGCTGAGCTAAGCTTATAAAATATATTTCATAATGAAATTAAAAACTATCTTGACTAAGTTTGTTTGAATTTCAAATTAGTTCTCATCGTCTGTCACCAATTTCCGCTGAAATATAAAGTTTTTAATTAAGCATAGCAAGAATATTAAGTGTCACATAAATTTGTTAACAAATCAATTATATGCTTAACTGTTCATTATTATTATTGAATATCTATTTCACATTAACTTGAAATTAATGTTATAATTTTCATTTCGATATTGATCAAGGTCAGTTTTCTTTAACTTTATTCAATATTAGCAATTTTTATTTTTGATATTTGAAATACAAAAAAATTTTAAATTTCGAAAGTTAAATTTTGGAATTTCGAAAGTTAAATATTTGAATTTCGAAAGTTGAAGTTTGAAATTTTAAAAATTAAAATCTTAAAGTTTAAAAGTTAAATTTCTTAAATTTTAACATTTTTAAGTCTGTTTTAAATTGTTTTGTCGATTAAACTTTCTTCGATAATAAAAAAATATAAAAAAAATCGTAAATTGAAAATAAAAAACAAGTTTGAACCGTTTTTATATTGACATCATCATTTTTACCGTTTTTAAGGCCAACGAAAAATTCGTCATTCCAGATAAGACGCTAGACTTGCGAAAAGCAAAAGAATTAAAGTGATTAATAACAAATGTCATTGATAAAAATGTTCTTTATTTTTATTTATTTTCAGACTTATCACGAAACCGATTTTGTGAATTACCTGAGGACATTACGTCATTCGCATTTCTAGAGAGATTGCTACTTTATCACAATGCAATTCGCTCAATACCAGAGTCAGTTCGGGGACTTCATTCACTCACATATTTAGACTTAAGGAGTAATCAACTTAGTGTACTCCCGCGTGAAATCTGTTACCTTCCACTCCAAATTTTTCTCATTTCAAATAATCGTCTGTCAACGCTGCCCGATGAACTCGGTCACATGAAAGATCTGACTGAACTGGATGCAGGCTGTAATCAACTTACACATCTCCCGGCCCGTCTTAGTGAATTAACAAATCTTAGAGCACTTAGTTTAAGGAATAATCAACTTATGTATCTTCCAAGGGGTAAGTTTGAATTTAAATTTAAAAAAACGGTTAAAAGTTTAAATTTTAAAATTTCGTGTGGATTTTTTTAAAACTTAAATTACAATTTCATTATTATCCACAGATCTGACAAATCTCACATTATTTTCACTCGACATAAGTTGTAATAAGATTGCATCACTACCAATTGAATTGCGTCTTATGACTTCACTTATAGATCTTACTCTTTCCGATAATCCACTTACAAGTCCGCCAGCTCACATATGTGTTCGTGGCATGATTCATGTTTTCAAATACCTTGAGAATGCGGCAGCAAGGGAAGGACGTGTCGAGGGAACGAATTCATTACGTCGATCATTACCAAAACAACATTCTACACCAGTATTGAATGAGAATCTTCATACGAAAGTCAAAAGAAATACAGTTGATTCTGGTTATAGTACAAGTGATGGTGGTCTAGATTCAAAGTGGGCACAAGAGCCCATTCCAAAATGGCATTTACCATCAACACCATTACATGTAAGGACAGAATTAAGTAAAAGTGATACCTCAACTCCCGCTGGCATATCACCAAGTGGATTCTATGAAAATCCACTTGATGATGATCTGCTTAAGAAGCAACTCGAGAAGAGGAACATGACACATTCAAATCCTACACTAACAAATGGATTTGTTGTAACAAATGAGAATTCACCGGAAGCAAACACACCTGATAGTCAAAAATCTGATGATAAGCTTAAAGCTTATGGTAACATACAAACATATCGTGAATATAAAGAAGCTTTACGACAACAACGTAGTCAAGAATCATCGTCAGTTTATAAAACCAAAGAAGCAACAACACCCGATGGAAGTACGGAGCCGAATTTCAAGACTCAGTCATCGTACAATAATAGCAACCAAAACTCTCCTATATCACCTTATCGCAATGTTAACATTTCTCCTTTAAATGGATTCCAACAACAACAACAGCAAGAAGAAAGTAAAGGTCGACCTGTACAAAAAGTCACACCGTCACGGAGTATAAGTGCACCATCGACTTATCAGAATGGTAATCATGCGAATGGAAAAGATGTCAACGATGGCTATATGAAACCCAGCAGTCCTTTAAAAACGTCCGGAATCCTTCAACATAATAGTGTACCAAATAATATTAATAACAATAATAGCAATAATAATGTTAAAGGAGCTTTAACAAACGGCCATAAACCCTTGTCAGGCACAACTGTGGGATATGTCAATAATAAGAGTGGGCAGAAAACGAATAAGTATGTTGTCATTTTTTGTATGTTTTTTGTTTGTCTGGGATACTTTTTCATTTTGAGGTTGAAGCACTTGAGGAATTTGTGCATTTAATTTTGTTGTAATGTTCAGTCTGCCCTTGATTATCTGGATCAGGGGTTGGACGCGTAGGTTTTTAGACATGTATCTTGTACCTGTTTCTTTTATGTTAAGGTTTGATGTAGTTTGGGTGCATAGACATATTTTGTGTAAAGCCTTGACTTAAACTAGAAAGAGCTACCAAATTCTAGAGCTTCCGAGCGTAAAATTGAAAATCTTTGTTCTATACTTAAGAGTATAAATAGAATTTGATGTAACTAATGAAGATACCCTTAGTATTGATCAATCAAGCCCCAAAACAGATCCTTGTGATATATTTCGAATCCACAATGAAGAAAATTATAATATTTATATTCCTTCCATATCCACAGTGCCTCACCCTTAACTTTTAATTTATTACCTTAAACTTATTTCTGTATCTGACAAATTTTAAATTAATCTTTTTTTTTCTGTGTGCTTCAGAACTGTTTCATGGAATCGTGATGTATCCACAGAGAAATTAACATTCACCATGCGTCGAGAATTTGACAAGCATAAGGAGGAGGAAGAATTAATAAAGCAATTGAGAAGTGTAAGTAAAACTTAATTTTACAGAAATTTTTCACAGATTTTTAATTTGATTTATTTTATTTTTGTAGATTTTGGAAGCGAAATTAAAAATGTCCTTACCTGATGATCTCGCACCAGCATTGTCTGACGGTGTTGTTTTATGTCATCTCGCCAATCACATTAGGCCTCGATCTGTTGGAAGCATACATGTACCATCGCCAGCAGTAGTGAGTTTTGTAGAATAAAATTGAAGGAACAAGGGGAAAACAACATGATGGGTTAAAAGTTTTGAGGGGATTTCCAACATGTTGTTTCCTCCTTGTGTATAATTAAGAGCTAGTGATGTGCCCAAGGACAGCAGGGAATTTAATATTGATGAGTCACACTATTAATGACTGAAAAAACTCATCGACCTACCAATCAGACCCCCTCCCATCCCAGAAAATGTTGAAATTCAAATTACAAAATTAATTAACAATTTCAACATTTTTATAAACTGAGTCACATTAAAAAATAATAATTAATTGACTATAAATCAATTTGCAACTTTCAATTTTTGTTTTGCAGCCAAAATTGACGATGGCACGATGCAGACGAAATGTCGATAACTTTCTAGAGGCATGCAGAAAAATTGGAGTTGATGAGGTAATTATCATTAAGTTAATTAATATTTTTTTAACGCTATCTTGTAGCACTTACAAATTATTGAAAGAATTGAAAGTCATTCCTGCTTATTTTTGCTTATGTCCTACCACATTAATCATACTCTCATTAATCTCAATTCCAATGCCATTAATTCGACTTATGTTTGGCAATAATTTTCTACTTTTTCCAAGTATCTCTCTGTCTGCCTATCTTTCTATGCCTTTTTTTTTTCTTTCTCATACTCATACATTAATTATCAGTATGAATCCAATAAAAAATAATATAAACATTGCACTAACATGTTGTTGTTTGGTGTTGGTTGCAGGAGTGTCTTTGCTCCTGTGGAGATATTGTGCCATCCATCAATGATAATGATGATACATCCGACATACGTCGTCCACCGAATCCAGGAGCCTTATATCGTACAATAAGTGAATTATTGATACAACATCAAAAGAATCTGGATGAAGCGGCGGCGTCAACGGCATTGATGAAACAAGGACAAGTGGATGCAACCAACACCAATTCAACAAACGATGATCACGATGATGGTTTTGTTGATGATTCAATGCCACTAATTCGAGGCATTCGACGAACACCCGCCTCGCTTGATTTTAATCGTAAGCGGAAATACGCGAGTGTAAAATTTCAACTGCCTGAGACGCATCAAGAGAATGATACTAGTAATGATGAACACAATGGTGCTCTTACTGAAATTATTGAGGAATGTGAATATGATTCTGACATTGGAAAATTTAAATGTAAAGATGATGATGCTATTGAGCAAGATGAGTCTGAGAATAGTAGTACATCATCTATGGTCGATAATTATTTGCAAGTTGAACACTTGAATAACTTGAATTCACCGCCGAAATATGTAAATAATAAAAGTGGATTGGATATGAATAATATTGTCGATGAATCCAATGATAATGAGCCTCATTATAAAATTGTTATGAAACGAATTGAATTTTTCGAATCGAATGGAATGAAGCATAGCGAAAATGAGAAGATCACAAATATTGTTAATGATATTAAAGAAATTCGAGTGCCGACACGAGAAGAACATTTTTTATCAATGATCCTGCTTATCATATTTATTCTCACTGTAACGCTTTTAATAATTTTCCCGCTGCCAAATTATTAAGGAAATAGTCTGCTATTTTAATTTATGTTCAGACAAATTTATTGATGCTTTAAATTCCATATTTCAACTTCCTCAAGTTTCTTTGTATACGTTTCAGTTTATTGGTAAACATAAATTAAGTTTCTCAATAATTGACTGCCAAATTTAATTTACAGTAGCGCATTTTTTGATAGCTGAGGTTAGGCTTATGTGGTCATTAGAATGACAAAGGATTGGCTTTTTAGCTAGATTTACATTAATTGACCAAACTCTAAGCTTATGGTTGATCAACTTACATTGACTTGATTAACTAGGACAGATCTGAATGGCACAAGTCGGTTAATCGATCAGCAATTCGGCACCAATCTAGTATGAATCTGGTATGGTGCTGGATTTAAATCGAAGCTAGCCGACTGGGCACCGGATTTCTTTTCAATTAACCGACTTGTACCATTCGTGAGAGTCTAATATTTCTAATAAAGATTTATTTTTGTAGCTAAGTTATTATGAAATAAGTTCAAATTATTTGGTAGCTATCCAATAAAGGTTCAAGCTAGAGACTAGAGATATTACGATCCCGTTCTTCGTAGAATCTATTGTACTTTGATTTATTTTGCTTTTTCTTCAAAACAAATCTAGATATTAACTTGATATTCATTGTATTATCAAGAACATATACTAGTTTTTTTGTAGATTAGGGTAAGAAACATAGTACAAAGGTTCATTTAGTCCTGATTTGAGATGTAGTAGGGTTACTTCCAATTTACTTAATTTACTGAACTAAAGTCATAAGATAGTGTCTTCATTTCAAAGTTTTGAGTTAAAATAAAAGAATCAGGTTCTATTATGAACGTTAGTATGTGATGCTATAAAGTAAGATTTAAGCTTTTGCATAATAGTACAACATTTAGTAACTTCAAACCACATTTAAGTGCAGCTATAGACTAGTGTAGCTTTTAACTAGTCCAGCTTTTTTAACATGAAAATGAACCAAATACTAAAATAAGATTCAACGAAAGTATCCAAATCTTTAAATTAAACATTAAACTAAGAAGCCAACCTCCACAAAATGCGCTAAATATCCAAAAATTTATAATTCCGCGATTTATCATTACCATTTTCACATTAAGTAGCTTGAAGAAGTTGAATATTCCGAGGTATAATTTTTAAGATAAATTTAATTTAATTAATTAATTTAAAGCAACATTTTCAATTGCTTTTATTAAGGAACACACACCTGTTTCGCTTGTTTATAATTCATTAACAATGGAAAAGTATTGCTAATGACTGTAAAGTAAAAACTTTTTCCTCATATTTATTATCAAACAAAATAATAAATCATTTAATTTCGCCAAATAGTATATAGAGGCATAAAAAGAAGATTGAATCTGAACAAATTACCATAAAAGTTTTAATAGCTTTAGTGCTTACTTTTACTTTAGAGATGCTAGTTAACTTATGTACTTACTATATCGTACTTGAAATGAACAGAAAGTCGAATTAAATTTCTTTATTTAATAAAATGAGAATGAAGTAGATGAATGAAATGCAGGAACAATAATTAATTAAGGTGGCCTTTAAATGAAAGTATTAAGAATGAATAATTGATTGGGGTTTCTATCCACAAAAAAGACAAATTATGGCAACATTTAAAAAATTATCTTCATTTTACATTTCGTATCAAAATCCTTACATTAAGATCTCTTCTAGTCATACATATGATAAATTTATTGTACTTAAGTTGTTCTTAGGAGTGCGTAGGTTGTTTGATTTGATTGGAGGAACGATGCTTCGTTTTCATGAAATTTTCGAATCTAGATTTTTGTAAATTACTGAATTTTTGAGAAAAGTTGAAATTGAATCTTTAATATTTACTCAATTTGAAATTTTCAGTTCCCAAAATCTCCAAATCAAATCAAAAAATCATTGCCACCCAACTTCGACTGTCCTCATTTTATTTCTCTTCCTCCACCGAATTTTAATCTTATTCATATTTCAATCATGAGACATTTTATATTCAAAATGAGAAAAATATGCTTTATCCTTTAAACCTTTGTACTTAAATATTATATCTTGATGCTTTACATTTATTATACTAAGTAGACGCTCTTATCCCAAAAATTTAATCAAAATGAAATGAAAAACATTTTTCTCATTTATCTTTAAAAATTAGTAGATGAAAAATAAACTCATGATAATTTCATTTATCATACTGTTTTAGTTGAGGTGCTTTAAAATGAATTGAATTGAGTATTATGATCGACATATTATATACGATTTAGTGAAACAATCTATACATATTAATATCGGGGGATGTGCTTGATGGAAGAATTATAAATTTTTTAAAAAAGTTTAAATTTTCATATTATTAAAATCTAATATATTTGATTTGATTTAAAATTGGAACTTTTTCAAAACTTCCTTTTAATTTATCTCCTTATTTTTGAAAAATTAATATTGGACAATTTTAAATTTTAATTCAATTTTATTGTTTTTACATTTTCAATATGTTTGAGCTGTTTCAATAATATTTTTTTAAAAATCAAAATTTATTTTATAACAAATCAAAAATCTATTTTAGAAAAAAATCGAAAGATTACTTTTTGAAAATAAAATCCTTAGTTCGTTTTTAAAATTAATAATCTAATCAAGTTCCGTCAAGTATTTTGCCCCATGAATAATTCCTATAATATTTTTCTATAAATTTATAAGAATATATTTTATGAAATTACATTAAAGACTTTTTAGAAATTAAATTGAAATTTTTAAATTGATTGGCCTAATAAAATATTTTTGTTCATTGAAATTATGAATCATATTTGATAGATTTTGAATAATTTGGATGATAGAGAATATAAATTTATTAATTAAAAATATGAATTGAAGGATTAAAAAGAAAAAAAAAACAGATTGAGAATAAATTGATTGGTTCTCAAATGAATAATCGAAAGAGAATAATGAAGAATGAATATATTGCAGCTGATATGGAAGCTTAACATAATTTTCGAATTTCAACATATTAAGCATCTAAATGAAATTTTTAAAACTGTTTAAAATGAGATATATAAGATGTTCCTATTCCTTTACTTTTAAATGACATTTCACAGACATTTCAAAATATTTAATTTTTAAAATCAAAAATAAGATTTCGTAACTTCATTTTAACGTTATCGCCAAATTATACATACCAAATTTGAGCTTAAGGTCCTTCCATTAAATCATAAATTAAGGACGGTCTAAAAATTCACAAAATTAACATTATTTTCAAAATACCAATTTATACTCAGAATCTCAATGAATCTTCAATATTCCAAAAAAAACCAAATCATCAAAATTTAAATTCCAAAATTCTAACATTCAAATTTTTTTACTAAACTTTACAAAAATTATCAAAAAAGTATTCCAAAAATTTACAAGTTAAAAAAGTTAAATTAAAGATAATAAAATCATATGATATGAATATGCCTTAAACAGTCATTTAACAGTAGGATTTATAGTAAAAAAAATTCAGCACATAAAACAAGAACAGTAACAAAAATTGCACCAAAAATGAATCTCAAAATGACCAGAAGATCAAAAATTAGAATTTAAAGAATTTTTAGAATTTATCCAAAAAATATTTATATATTTGTCGATGTTCATTGCTTTTTTGAGAAACAGAATCATTAAAATATAACAATCAAGTAGAAAAAAATAAGATTTTGTAGTTTTGCTCATTTTTACTGCTAAAGAAGTTAAATTCAAAGAATTTATTCAAATTTTCTCTATTTACTCACGTTTTTCACTTTGTTTATAATTTCAGAAACTTTTGTGCTGTGCTGCCGATATCCTCGAAGGTAAGGGAGTTGTTCAAGTTGCAATTACTGTATGTGAATTATCTAAACACCAAGCTACGCCACCAAATACTATAAAATCACCTCAACGATACCAAAATCATAATAGTAACAATAATAATGTCATAAGTAGTAGTAATGTAAGCAATTTTAATGGACATAATTCTGATGGCTTTATTAGTAAGTCAAGTAGTTCATCATCATCGCAGCTATCAGCTACGACTCCGACATCACCAATTGTTTAATGGAAAATATAGCATAAAAGCTTTAAAAGTATTTAATCTTATTTTTTGTTGTACAAAAAAAATGCCAGAGTTGGAAAACTTTTGTATAATTTTATGATATACAGGATTATTTTCGGACTATTGGACATTATCTAATCATCAAATATTCAGCATAAAGCTGAGAACAAAAACATTTATTCATTAAAAAATAATTATAATTAAGGGTATCCATTTAATAAGAATCAAATGTCAGATCTGAGTACAGAAATCTGTTTAATGGCTCAATTTTGAATTAGAAGTTTTTTTACGAAAGAGTAACAGTTTTAAGAACTTGAATTGAAAGCATAAATAAGCTGATCTATTTCCGAGAGTTTTGAATTTCGTTTCTGAAAAACTAGATATACATCTTGATCTTAAGATACTTAATTTAAGATCAATCAACTTGGTTTTAAATTGGCAGAATTTGTTAAAATTCCAGAGCTCAAAGCCGATCAAGATTTATAAATAAATCTTTAAAAATGGACATCCTTTAACCACATACAACTTCATTCATGTGATGTTTTTCCATCCCTCCCCCCGATTTTTATAAAACTATAATCTAATTAATTTATTGATACATAATCAGAGATGTGTAAGTGTTGGAAATGTTAAAAGATGGAAGAAAAAAAATATGAAGTTGTCGTGAGGGGTCATCTTGATGTTTTGTAATGTCATTTTAAAATGTTCCTCTCCTCAAAAACCAAATTTGTATGAAAAATTTAAAAAATTCTATGTACCTCTCTTCTAAAGCATTGCGGAACATCTTAATGACCCACAAACTAATGGAGTGAATCCCTTTTCTCTCTTTTCTAGATCAATTGATTAATTTAGTCTTTAGCCTTTTGAGCTACCTATTTAATACAATTTATAGACAAACACATAAAATATTACTTTAAATTTAAAAAAAATTAGAATTGTACGATCAAAACAATATTTTAAAAATGGTTTTGCACCTTAAAAATTGAGATTTAGAGTAAAGAACAAAGAGTTTGAAAAGTTAATCTAAAGTAGAATGGTGAAAAGTTTCAAAAATTTAAAATTTAAGATTTTAAACCTCTTTAGTGACTTCAAACTTGTATGGATGGATTTGATGTCTTAAGTAGGTGGTTTGATATCCCAAACTCTACGATCAAACAATATTTCACAAATAAATTTAAATTGAGCATCCAAAATGAACAAAACTGGCAATGGTCGATCAAATAATATGACAGAATAGATACAATAATATCAATTGGAACTGAAAGCAAAGAAATGAAATAAAAGTAAATTTAAATAATCAAAATCCATAATATAATCTACTACTTTAGAGGTTTTCAAAGTCTTAAGATTAAAAAGTAATTTCTATAAGACTCTTTTAAATGTAAAATATGTTCATTGATTGTATATCCAAATACCCGTTATCCTATATATGGGACATACTTAGTAATAAAGATAACTCACAATAATCAATTAGTTTACGACACAAGATGAACATAATTCAGGAAAAAAATGAGTAGTTGTGGGCCTAAAGACTTGATTTTTATACCAAAAAAATATGTAACTCAAATTACAGAAGGAACTGTGAATATTGATGACTAAATTTTTAATTGACTTTTTAAAAATGAAATAAAAAAACAAAAAACTCATAAATTAAAATTGAAGAAAATAAAATTTTTTTGTAGCGATTGAATAAAAATACCGATGTAAATTGGCATAATATGCTCATGGAATATAAACCTTAAAATGAATAAATTAGAATTAAATAAACACAATTGTGTGTGCCATTTTTATAAATAATCTGAACAAAAATTAATGATAATGAGATTCTATGGATTAAGAACATATAGAGTGGGTGGATTTAAGGAAGTTTTTTTGGTCTAATATTAAATATTAATTTCGAAACTGAAATTTTTAATTTTGAAATTGAAAATTATTGATTTCAAAATTGAAAATTATTGATTTTGAAAGCAAAATTTTAAGTATAGAATGTAAAATTTTTAATTTCGCAATTAAAAACTATTGATTTTAAAAGTGAAGTTTTTAATTTCGAAAGTGAAAATTTTAATATCGAAAGTGAAAAATTTTAATTTCGAAAATAAACTAGTGTATCGGGTAGAAACCCAATGCGGATTATATTCACACCGTCTCATCAAAAGTCTTATGGATAGACCAAGATTTGCCCAGCATAAGTATGAAGAAAGTAGGAGATATAAAGCTCCGCTCAGCATAAGTTTGAAGGTCTAAAGCTTAACAAACATTTTTTAAAAGTTTTTTAAAAAATTTTTTCATCCAAAGTTGAATTTTATAAAAATCACAGTCAACTTTTGTTTTAAAAAATTCGTAAGAAAGAAAAGTTTTTTGCTTTTTCTGAAGCAATGGCTGTTCCTACCTTGCCCAAAAACAATACAGCTCTTCTTTAGAGCAGCATGGATCAAATGTAAAAAACTAGAAGTCTCTACGATGTCTCGTTATTGAGATTTCTTGCTGATTAACTTGCTTGCTTGTTTGCTTGCAGAAAGCGTATTTTGCGATTTTCTTAGCAATGCTACAACCAATTTGAAATCTGTTTTTTGCAAATGATGTAAAACTTCAGGCACAAACTTTTCTTTTAAGACATTTTATAACCAATTTCGCTTCGTTTTCTCACAAAATGCGAAAAAATGATTTTTCAATCTAAACAAAACCAATAGATTCACACGTGAAAACGGTGTGAATATAAAAATTAAATTAACCCTTGATCAAATAAAACAAAACCACTTTAACTAGGGAGTTAAAAAAGTGCGAATACTCACCCATAAATTAAAAAGCAAATTAATCTATAGATTAAATTTAATGATGTTTTAAAGTCAACGATTTAAATTAAATCAACAGATTACCAATATTTCAAAGATTTTTTTGAAGATGTTCCGTCAGTTGTTGTTGTGCCAAAGAGATGTAAAAGAGAAATATTGAATTAATTCATGACAGTAATGCATCACATGAATTGCCTGAATAAATTTTATAATTAAATAGGAATATAAACACAGAGAATAGAAATTTTTGAACCAGAAGCTCTAGTCAGTTATTTTTCGACACAGAATTACACTTACAGGTTGAATAATTCTCTCTATAAAATTAAAATTGTATTTAATTCAATAGAATAGTTATCGACATGTTCTTAAATATAATTGAAATTTCATGTTACATTAACCTTAGATTCCATTTTTGTAATAATTTGACAGCATTTAATTCCTATGCAATAAATTATATTCCTTCTTATTTCAACACAAAATATGACATCATTCACAAATTAATTTATTCTCTTATTCTTCACATGTTAAAATAATAAAAAAAATATAGTTTTTTTTTGCAAAATAAAAAACTTAATTTATGTTGATTAAAACTGGAACATATGACGACGAAATGTTAGACATGAGACTTTTTTTTTTGTTTCACATTCTCTTTTCCTTCACATCAGTTGAATTTTAAACAAAATACACACATTCTTAAAGTTCTATGTATAAAGCATGAATAAATAATTTATATAAATTATATATTGTAGAATGAAAAAAAAATATTCAATTGCAATAAAAATTTTGTTTCATTGATAATAGAATAAATTTGAATTTTTGAACTTCTTATTTTAGGCGTTTGGTTTTGTAAAGTTAAAGATTAATTGATTAGATTTTGATTTTGTTTGGTTGTTTCTAATTGATCCTGGTTTGACAATCAAATTATTTATGTTTCTGAAGACTCAACTTAATCGTCTTTTGAAAGTGCCTTTGTTTCTGATGATGAAAGCTAGCATTGAAATTGTACCTAAAAGAGCTCGAGGATTCGTATGAATGTTCTTATATTCAGAATTAAAACGTCAAATTTTATTGCAAGACATTGAAAGCGATAAATCACAAATTTAGTAATTTAAATATCACGATTATTAAAAGAGCCGTTCAATTATTACGCATCTTTACAACAATTTTTTGTTTCAAAAAAGGAAAATGTATTATTTAATATTTCTAGGAGGTCTGCTTTTCTTCTTCAACCTAATAAGTGAATCTTAAGAACTTTAAATATTAACGAAAATCCAGTAAACAACATTGAAAAAGAGAAATGCACATGGAAACACCAAACGAGCTTCTCTAAAATGAAAGAATATTCACAAATGTTCAGAATCATTGGAATTTAACAAAACCTCAAAACTACTTACTTGTCAAGTAAAATTGCAATCTCTTGATGAGTCAGTGTTGTAAATTTCTTCTTTTTCTTCGGTACTGATGGCTCAGTTGTAGTTGGAATTGAAACTTTTATGTCAGTTATAGTTTTATTACTATCTGTTGTATCCTTGCTTACAGTAGGTATTGAAAGTTGATTGTTCATTTGCTGCTGGTTTGAAGAATAAAAATTTAAATGTAGAATATTATCAGAAAGATGAATTTTCCTTACATTCGGAACTGTAAGATTGATTCCAAAATTGTTATTTTTAACTGTTAAATCCTCTCGATTGAACCTGTCTAATGATGTGTCTGACTGAGCTCTTCTTAATGATCCAGAATTTGAGTCAAGACTTCTGCGTAACATCATTGGCGTTAGTGTCTCTTTGAGAATGTTTGCAGTTGTAACCTCTTCTAATAAAACATTCTTCTTTCTTCTCCATAACAAATTCACAAATGCGAACTCAATCAAGCTGGCAAAAATAAACATTGCGCAGACGATAAACCAAATTTCTGATGACTTTATGTAGCTGACTTTTGGAAGTGTCTTAGTCTGAGATGATGAAAGTGTGATGAATGTAAGCATTGCTGTCGTACCCAACATTGCGCGAGGTGCAGCTTGATCAGCTTGAAGCCAAAATGATACCCAAGAAATAGCAACCAACATTATTGATGGAAAATAGTAATCTAGTAAGTAATATCCAATTGAACGATCAAGGTTCATTACAAATATCAAGGTACTGTAATTTCCAGTAAAGTCTCCATATTGTTGACCAACTTGAGATGCATTAATTTCCGATTCATTTGTAATTGTATTCATGTAAGTATATTCAGTAAGAATTTTATCAGACCCAATCGTGAATGGCCTTATTGACTCCCAATGCAGTTTTACTTGAGATGAATTGTATATCCAGTTTCCAATTGTTAATTTGCAATGTTGTTGATCAAATGGAAAATTCTTAAATTTCATAGAGCAGTAAAGAGTTTCTTGGATCCTTGATGAAATTATAACAGTTCCATTAGGATGGATTGCTGTGATGATGTCTCGATTATCGGTTCCCAAAGTTCCCGAAGTCCTGAAAAATAATTTGATCAATATCAAAAAGCATCTTGAAAGCATCTGCAATCTGCTTACTTTTCATTAACAAAGAAGATGTGAGGTGTCCACAATTGATCCCGGATATCCTTTTCGCCAATTATTGGTTCTGTTTGATTTGATCCAACTTTACTGAATTCTAGACGATCATCAATGTAACGAATTTGGAATCGCATTTGAAGTGTGAATTGAAGATTATGTGTGTCTAAGTTTTGCATGTAAAAGACAAATGAACGTACATAAACTTCAACTGGAAGAGATTTTCCATTTTCATCGAAATCTACAAAGAATCTCCTATTAGAAAATTTATGATTCATATTTAAAAGAATTTTTTTCTTACGATGTGGCCTTTGAATCTTGTCATATCTGAAAAATTAAAAATTAATTTTAAGATTTGATAAAAAAATATTGTACTTTAATTTACTTCACCTGCATGATTTTGTAAGACGACTTAATAATTCCGATTGCGTCAATTCAGTATCTTCAAAAGGAGGACATTTGTTTCTGATTCTAGAAAAATGCAAATTTCAACATTAGGATATTAAAATTTTAAATAAAGAAATCCAAATGATGACAGATATTCTTAATTTAAGCAATTAGCAGTTAGATCTGTAATTTGATTATCACAATTGAGAGTTTTGATCATCTTTGGACACATTTGGTCACTTAAAGCTTCTTATTCTTAAAAATTTGAAAAAAGAAAATTCAATTATTCTTAAAGTTTAAAGTTGCAGCTTTTAGCTTAGAATTGTCATATTTAAAATCATTTAACTTCAAACGACGCAATTATTGAATAATCTGAAAAATTTCATCATTTTAATCTAATTTTTAAAATGTCGTTTTTTGAGCTTTTTTTAAAGCTTTAATGTTATGAAGTTCCTGATAACTTCATTCATTTTTAATATTTTTCTCCAAAAGTTTCATTTAAGTTGAAATTTGTTACAAACCTTTTGTCAGAAACATTATTGAGTTTATTTACTACAGAAGTGATTTGGTTATTAGTTCCATTGGTTGTAAGATTTCTACTGTACACTGCTATTGAATCACTGAAGACATCAGTGAAAATAGTGATAAATATCAGAAATTCAATAAATTTCATTATACTGGCTAGTATTAAAAAATAATAAAAAAAAGTTTAAAGCTAGTTTTTTAGTCAACTGCTTCACGGTCAATTTTTGACAACAGACTGAGTAGATATGTGTTAAAAATCGTTGTTTCGGAAATCTACAAAAAAACATCAAAACAATACAAAAAGCTTAATTATTAGGGAATCAAACATATTACGGCATTTGTAGAAAAATTTGATAATTCAGATATCATGATTCACACAACAGTAGAGCACTAGGCGCTCAGATGATTACTTTTATTAGTTTCAAAGCAACTTTTATTTTGCATTTGAAATTGTTTTCATTATTTTAAAAAATTTATAAAGAAGATCAGTTACTGATCATTTGCATAGGCAACTTTTAAGCAGTCCTAATGTGCAAGAATAGAAAAGAATTTAAAATCAGCAGTTATATCTTCCTTCCTCAAAACATCTTTTTTCATTAAAAGCTGACAAATATCCAAAAACAAATATTGAAGATGAAGAAAACGCATGGAAAGACCCAACGAGCTTCCCTAAAATTGGATAAAATTTAGAAAATCTTTAAAATATTTCAAAATCAATCAAATACAAACTTGTCAAGTAAGATTGCAATTTCTTTGTGAGTTAATGTTGTTTTTCCATCGATATTGAAATCACTACCGTCAAATCCATTGCCTGGTATGGGAATCGATGTGTCTTTTACATTTTTATTGTTGTTAATATTTATTGTTGGTGTTACAAGGCAATATTGTGTCTGCTGTAAAAATAAAACATTTTGAATGGCATTAATCAATCATATTTATCTTACATTTGGAACTGAGAGTCTTGGACCGTAATGAGGCTTGGCTACCAAAGCTTGTGGAGGTGGATCTTTATGTAAGGCTGTATCAGAATGTTCGAATTATTTCAGGATCAAGTTGGAATGATTTTCGTCTTAAAATCGGTGTCAGTGTCTGCTTTAGGATTTGTGCTGTTGAAACCTGTAAAACGACATTGAAATCATTATTTTTAGTACACAGCTAGCAATTTTACAGGTCCCACCTCATCCAATACAAGATCTCTTTTACGTCTCCATAGAAGATTGACAAATGTAAATTCAATCAAACTTGCGAAGATAAACAATGCACAAACAACTGACCAAACTTCAGAAATCTTGATGTAGCTGACTTTTGGAAGTGCCTTAGTCTGGGATGATGAGAGTGTTATGAATGTAAGCATTGATGTTGTACCCAACATTGATCGTGGTGCTGTTTGATCAGCTTGAAGCCAAAAGGAAACCCAAGAAATAGCAACCAACATTATTGATGGAAAATAATAAGTGAGCAAGTAAAATCCAAGTGAACGATCAAATGTTATTGTAAAAATCAAGCAACTATAATTTCCAGTCATATCTCCATACTGAAGCCCTTTAAATGCATCAATTTCTGATTCCTTTAATGCAATATCCAAGTACGTATATTCAGTAAGGATTTTATCAGAACCCAATGCGAATGGATTAACTGGTTCCCAATGTAAGTTGACATCAGATTTGTTATAAATCCAACTTCCAATTGTTGATTTACATTTTTGCAAATCTAATGGAAACTTGTGAAACTCCATCGAGCAATAAAGCGATACTTGAACTCTTGATGAAATTATGACAGTTCCGTCAGGATGAATTGCAGTGATAATATCAAGATTTTGAGTTCCGAGAATGCCAGAGCTCCTTAAAAAATAGATTATTAAAATAATAAAATATCAATAAATTAAATGAAAATAAAATTTTACTTTTCATTGACAAAAAACACATGAGGTATCCACAACTCCTTCTTCAAATCTTCTTCTCCTATAATGACTTGAGATCGATTAGATCCAACACCATTAAAAATCATTCGATCATCTTGGTATCGGATTTGAAAACGCATTTGCAAAGTAAATTCCAGATCAAGTGTATCCAAATTTTGCATGTAGAACACGAAGGTTCTCACATAAACATCAACGGGTATTGGCCTTCCATTTTCATCATAACCTGAAAAAAATGGTTAATTATTAAGAAATCAAGTCATAGTAATTTAACTTACGTGGAGGTCTTTGGATTTTATCGTATCTGAAAATCAATAAATCATTAAACTTAATTTATTATCTTTAATTAAATATCATTTATTCTTACCTGCATGGATCGGTGAGACGATTAAACAAGTCTGACTGTGTTAATTGGCTATTTTTAGTAGATGGATATGGTGGACATCCATTTTCAACGCTGCAAATAGAAGAAAATTCGCACAATTTCGTAAGACAGTTTCTAATTATGATATTTAGCACTTAAGATTGCAAAATAATTATCACAATTAACAAGCTAATTGTGTATTTATGGTTGAAGTTTCATGCTGTTCTAATTTAAAAATAAGAAAAGGTTTGAAAATCGGACGAAAGTGATACGTGGATGCTGTTTTTAAAAATATTCTAAGCTAGCTTCATATCTGTTCATTCCTGAATAAATCCGATACATCTTTTGTTTTTCATAGTTCATCTTCTTGCTAATTCAAATATGAAGTTTCTCTACCTTATGCCTTTCTTGATATTTTTAGATTCTTTAGTCTGTAGATATCTCGTTTTGTGTTTAATATCGATCAAAAACATAACATTTCAAAAATCCTATTAATTTTTACAAACTTTCATAAAAAGTAAGTGAACGACATTATTGAATTTTCAGGATTCTTGAACGTTGATGATTCCAGCATTCCTTTTCAAAAGCTAAACTAGGTGAACTAAGAATCAAGGGTGTGAAACTGATCAAAATATATTAAATCATGATTTATCAGTTCCTTATCTTTGGTCAGGAAATGACCAAGTCCACACCACATTATGCATACTTACTTTATAATTTTATGATATTGCACCAAAGTTTCAATGACTGAAGCAATACTTTGTTTAGTAATATTTTGATTTAATTCTGTCCCATTAAAATCTAATGCAGCGTATACAGTAATAAAATTCAGAAAGAAAATGATTATTTTTATACGTTTCATTTTCCTTGAACTTATCCTTTTGTGTTCTAGCTTTCACAATTCTTTTTTAACAGCAGTAAAAGATGTTCTCAGCTCGATATTTGACAAGTAAATGAGATTTTGTTAACTCAACATCTTAAATTGTTTCGGATGTTCTTAAGACTCTAATTGGTTTTATTGAAAGCATCTTTGTGATTGCAAATTGATTTAATCAATGCCTCACGACATTCTTAACAAGAAAGCTTTCGAAAATTCCGGCTTTCAAAGCTCCCTTGCTAATCAATTCAAAATCTTCAAGATCTCATTGACATCACCATATGGCAAAAATAAAAATATCTAAAAATACTCTAATAAATTTGATACTAAACCACAGTATTTAGCACAATCAGAAGTGGCTTGAAATTTAATAGATGGTAATTTTATGTTTACTTAAGTCTTTATTCTTTTCTAATTGGATACATCTAAATAAATGAGGTTTGAACTAAGATTCATCAAGAATTAAATACTAAGTGCTAAAAGGTAAATCTAAATCTGTTGAAGTACATTCAAGTTATATACCATATTAAACTAGTTTATGTTAAGCTTTATCATTGTAGATTGCTCGTGTTTAAATTTGTATCGAAAGAAATATGAAGAATTGAGTATTTGAGATTTGGATTCTAACCTCTATGTCCTGACTTCACTTCTAAATTGATAATTATTCTAAACTAGAACTTGAAGGATTTTATTTATTCAATTTTGTAAGCAGAAGTCAAATTTATTCTAAATTCTATCTACTTCAAGATCTGGTTCTAATAAACAAAATACTACAGTTGAGCTATAAAAACATACGATATGTCTAAATCATAATCATAATCCAATAAAGAATGTTGAAGAACAAGAATGCACACGGAAATACATGACGAGCTTGCCTAAAGATAAATAAAATTTAAATTTAAGTCTTTCTTCTCATATTCATTAATGATTTCAAACCTATCAAGCAATATCGCAATTTCCTTGTGAGTTAATGTTGTCTTCTCATTTGGATGCTCATCATAATAGCTTTGTGAATTATTTGGAATCTCAATGACTTCATCTGATGTTGTGCTTTCATGATTTATATCCTCATAACTTTCACATGGTGTGACCAGATTGCAATTTGAGTGTTGCTATTAAAATAAAAATAATTGAGCATAAATTTAAAGAACTCCTTAAATTTCAATTACATTTGGAACTGAAAGCCTAAGTTTGAAATTATTTCTGTTAATTAAGTTCTCGTTGTTCAACTTATCTAAACTTGTATCAGAACGGGATTTTCGTATTACCTCAGATTTATATTTTAGATTTTTCAGTGGGAGTGATGGCGTTAGTGTCTTCTTGAGTATATGCACTGTCGTAACCTATAAAACAAGAAATATTTTTAACAAACTTTAAATATCTTAAAATGCATTCATTTTTCATCACGACTTCTTCTATCATGAGAAATAAAGTCATGACAACCATTACCTTCTTCAACACCAGATCCTTTCTACGTCTCCACAAAAGATTAACAAATGCAAATTCAACCAAGCTAGCAAAAATGAACAAAGCACAGACAATAAACCAAATTTCTGAGAATTTAATATAGCTGACTTTTGGAAGTGGTTTATTTTGTGATGATGAAAGTGTGATGAATGCAAGCATTGCTGATGTTCCTAACATCGCACGAGGAGCTGTTTGATCTGCTTGAAGCCAAAACGATACCCAAGATACAGCAACAAGTAATATTGATGGAAAATAATAATCTAGTAAATAAAATCCGAATGAGCGTTTAAGAGCGAGTGTGAACATCAGCGAGCTATAATTTCCAACAAAATCTCCATAATGTTGACCAGGACTATTTGCATCAATTTCTGATTCCTCCAATGAAATGTTCATAAATTTATATTCAGTAAGAATTTTATCAGTTCAGTTATATTTATTTATTTATCAATATTATGACAGTTCCATCAGAATGAACGGCAGTAATGACGTCTTGCTTTTGTGTTCCGAGAGTTCCAGAGCTTCTGAAGAAATATTCAAGAAATAAATTCAATTGAAGAAAATCTTAAAACTTACTTTTCATTGACAAAAAATACATGCGGTATCCATAAACTCTGTTTTAGTTCTTCTTCGCCTAGAATGACTTCAGTACTGACGGAACCGACATTGTTAAACACCAACCGTTGATCATTATAACGAATTTGAAATCTCATTTGAAGAGTATATTGCAAATTATGTGTATCTAGATTCTGGATGTAAAAGATATAAGAGCGAACATAAACGTCAACTGGCATCGGTCCTCCATTCTTATTGAATCCTAAAAAAATATGATACATTAATTGATATATTTTACGCAAAATTAAATGTGGTGATTTTCCATACGCTGCGGTCTTTGAATTTTGTCATATCTGAAACAAAATAAATCTAGATTCTTCATTTTTAATTAAATGATAATTTAATTTACCGGCATGAATCTGTCAGACGTTTGAAAAGATCCGACTTAGTAAGTGGGCTATTTTTAGATGGTAAACAATTAGGATCCGATCTAAAAATAGAAAATTTTAGCACATCTTTGAGGAAAAAGCTTTTAAATTATGATAATTATCGTTTTAAGATGTAGATTAATTTGAGGAATTTGAGCGTATCTGATTGAGTAACTGTTGGGAACAGTCCTTTTTTAGAATGTTGTAAAAAATTGATTTTTCATCAATGTAGATAAAGAAGTTGGAAGTTTCATGTTGAATAGATTTAGGAAAATATAAAATTGAATAAAACAGTTCTTTCCTACAAACAACCTCAACACCAGCAATTTTAATAAGAAAAAGTTTATTTGGATTTTAACCAGGAAGAATTCTTCAAGAGTTTTTTGACAAAGAATTGCTTTTAATTTGATATGATCTCTTAAAAATTCAGGACAGAATTGAGATAATATGGGAATTTTTAAAATAATCCAATCAAGCATTAACCTTCATAAAACAGTTTCAAAGTAAAGCAAAGATTTCCATTTACTTTTATCATAATTGCTCAACAATTAATCATTCAAGCTAAATCTTGTTTGTTAAAAATATTGTTGCAAATTATGTTTAAAACTGAATTTTAATAAACAAAGCTCCCGCAAATTATAAACTTTTAAAAGCTAAAAGAATAGATTATAATCTTCAATAATCTTTAATTCAAAGATTATTGAACATTATAATCTTTGTGTAGGATTATTTAAAGATTATAATCTGCGGGAAATTGTTAATAAATAACAAGTAAATGTTCTACTTGTTGGTTTATAACGCATGAGACTTACCCCATCATTTCCGGAAAAACTTCAGGTATTTTAGTTGCTGAAATAATCTCCTTTACTTCTTTATCATTTAAACTCACATCAGTTAAATTTAAAATTTTAGAAGAATCAGCAAAAATCAAAAAGCTTGAAAATATTAAAATGAACTTCATGCTATTTTTCTTAAATATTCCAAAAAAAAACTTAGATAAGAAAGAATGTTTCTCGATCGACTTTCAAAAAGGTAATGATCACCTTTTGTTTTAGCAGACTTGAAGAAGACCTCAACATAGTCCAAAAATCTATTAGTGTGCAATTAAAAACATTTTTGTCTTGCAGATTCTGAAAATGAGAATGTCACGAATAAGTTTGAACTTTTTTTTGTCGGCAATAAATTTATTTTCTTGGAAAATTTTTATCGATAATTATTTAATATAATCTACAATTAAGATAAAATTAACAAAATATTCTACAAATATACTTAAAATTTAAAACAAATACACAAATGTCCAATAGAAAACGTTGAATACAGCAAATGAAAATGGGAAGAATGTCCTCGAACGCCTACAATCAAACAAATCTAATTGATGGAGCAATTCAAAACAATTATAAAAATCATCATACTTATCAATCCAGTTGGAAAGTTCATGAGGAGTCATTCGGGTCCATCCATCATAGATTGTATGATGGAGTTGAGTAAGGTGATTTCCTTTCTTAAGATTGTCCTTGCTGTAATCTTCTATTTTGTTACCCAATGATCCAGCATCACTGTCGTCATCTTTAATTATAATTTCTATTGCATTGCTATTGTTCCGTATAGCATTACTTGTGTCCATTTCCATTTCATATTCGCCATTTTGACCTTCTGTTAGGATTACTGGAACCATGTATGACTTTCGCTAGAAGTTATTCATAAAATAATTAAGATTTTCATATTCAAAACTTTACTTACTCTAACTCTGCACTCAGAATCATCAAATTTCACTTTGTTCTTCGTATTCAGGCTTGTTTCAGATTCAATTCGTGGTAATTTATCAAATTTAGATTTCTTTTCTGAAATATTTTTAAGCAGATGGTCGTCATTCATCAAAATATTTTCCTCAAACATTGTCTTCTTCTCTCCGTTTTGATGCGAAAATGAACTGCTGTGAATCAAATTGTTGAATTTTTTGAAGCTTTCGTCATTTTCATTGTTGGCTTTTACTATGAAATCGTTGCTATTATGGACATTTCTCTTTATCAACTCGTTTAGATCTGTACACGAATTTGATCTGTGCATTGAAATTGATTGTGTAAATCCGTCCATTTGTATCTAATAAATTTTGAATAAGTCATTTAAATCTCGAAACATTTTTGAGAGTTTAAACCAGTTTGGGATCTTACCTTCGATGCAAAATCGACAGAACTCCTCTTATCAATTCTTGTTTTGTCATTTAGGAATTCTTCATCATTTTGAACAGCTGATGGAATGCTAGCAACACTTCGAGATGTATCAATTCCTAAAGCTGTTCGAACATCTTTTGCAGTTAAAGTGTGTTTTAAAATGTTCGTCGCGTTTACCTGCACAATTGACAAGAATTGTTTGCACAAGCTATGACATCAAAAGTAAGGAACTATACCTTTTTCAATTCAACATGCTTCCTTCTCCTCCAAATTACATTTACAAATGCAAACTCAACGAGACTCATAAAAATGAAAGCAGTGCATGCCATCGACCATATTTCCAATGCCTTTATGTAACTGACTTTTGGAAGAATCTTATTTTGAGCTGATGAAAGTGTGATAAAAGCAAGCATAGCCGAAGCACCCAGCATAGCTCTAGGTGCTGTTTGATCAGCTTGAAGATAAAATGAGACCCAGGAAATGCCAACAATCATCACAGACGGAAGATAATATTCTAAAATGTAAAAACCAGCCTGCCGATCCACTTTAAACTTGAAGATGATTGAGCTATAATTTCCAACAAAAGCACCGTGTCTCAAGTCATTTTCATTAGCAATTACCATTTCTTCTGTTGTTGATGTGTTGGTCAGGATGTACTCAGTTAAAATTTTATCTGGTCCCATTGTTAATGGAGAGAACTTTTCCCAATGAAGCTGGACTTGTGATGCATTGTACATCCAACATTCAAGAGTACCCTTGCATTCTTGCGAATCAAATGGAAATTTCCTCAAATCCATTGGACAGAAGAGGGTTGCTTGAAGTCTAGAGGAAATTATTACAGTCCCATCAGGTGATATTGATGTTAAAATGTGGTGTCCATAAGTTCCTAAGACTCCAGAATCTCTAAAAATATTAAATTATGAATGATTAAGCTTTTAAAATAAGTTAAGGTACACATTACTTACCTTTCATTAGAGAAAAAGACGTGAGGTACCCAAATTTTCTTCCTCAAATCTTCCTCGCCTGTTACAGGGTAGATTCTTTTTGGAGCGACAGCCTTAAATGCAAGTCTAGGGTCAACAAATCTCATTTGCAAAAGAGTTTGCATCTTAAACTGTAAATCATGAGTATCCAAATTTTGTAAGTAGTAAATAAAGGATCGCACGTAAACATTGACTGGTAAGGATTTTCCACTATCATCATGCACTTGATAAAGGAAGAATAGAAAGCTAGTGAATCTCTAAAACAATTCTTTTTAAGATCTTACATTTTGGCCTTTGAATTCGATCATATCTACACGGATGTACAAGATGCTCGAAAAATTCTTCGTCTGTCAATAAATCTGCATTTTCGAGCGATGGACAGAACTCACTACTTGTTAATGATACAAAATGAAAAGTCCAAATAACAAATTGCGATAATTTTGGAAGTAAATTTATTTTTTTGGTTCGCACAAGGATAAAATACACGACACCTACTTTGCAGGGCCTTTATCACGTGATCCATTAACTTTGGCTATTTGACTTTCAACGTTTGCTGGTGGAACTATCGAGAAGAAATGTGTCGGAGGTTCCACTGAATGGAAGTCTTGAGCCAAAGCAATTGTTAAGCACTCTAGTAATAAAATAATTTTATGTCTCATCACTTCTTTTTCAGTTTAAATATTTTAAAAAAATCCACAAAATTGATCCAGTTGTGAAGATGTAAATTTTTCAACAAGATTCTTTTATCAAAACTTGATTTGATGTCTTCAATAAGACGGATGAAATTAAACTGATCGATATAAGTATGAATTATGTGCATTATAATATCAAATTTACACATTTTATCAATAATAATTGAAGATTCGTGACTGATGATAAGTAATTGAGTAAATATAATTCAGAGTTGAAGATTTCTGTGTTCTGAATTTTCTTTTGAGTCATATTCATCTTTAGAAGCTTTATTTGTAATAAAATGGAAGTAATCGTAGCACTTCCTATCCATAGATTAGCCCTAATCAGTTCAAAGTCAACAAATAGTAAGCAAACGTGTAATTGAAGATATATCGGACATGATCTGGGTAATAATGATCTACTTGTTGATTCTTTCAATTAACAGTTAATCAAATCTAGTTTAGCCTCAAAAGTAAGTACAATAATCGTGTAAATATTTTCCACATACAATTTAACAAGCGAAAATGACTGCACTGATTACCGATATGAATAAATATTTTCCTCAATTTAATGTGTAGCACATTCAAGACGAAATCTGTAAAAATTGTGGATATCAAACATTTTATTTGGATCATTGAAGTCTTTTGTTAAAGAACGTTTGGTTCACAGGTGTATTGATGTAGTTATTTTCCTGATTACTTAAGTTATCACGAATAAAAAGACAATAATCATCAAAAATGTTTATTATGAAGGTAAATAGATCATTGCTGCGAAGCAATTGAGTAGTATTCACATTACGTCTAGTACAATGCTAACTGGTTTCAAATTTTCTTTCATGGTTCTTTACTCAAAAAAATTTTTAGGATGTTTTATTTGTATTTGTTTTAAGCACTAGAATATTTATGCAAAGTTTCAATCCATTTGGATAAACCTTCGAAGAAAAAAGTGACAAAATTGATTTTAACTAGGGTCGCCGCCCCTAGTCCAAAATTGAAAATGTATTTCCTCCTTGGTTCTTTGCTCAAAAAACTTTTAAGATGTTTTATTTGTATTTGTTTTAAGCACTTAAATATTTATGCAAAGTTTCAATCCATTTGTATAAACCCTCGATGAAAAAAGTGACAAAATTGATTTTGTCTAGGGTCGCCCCTAGTCCAAAATTGAAAATGTATTTCCTACTTGATTTTTTGCTCAAAAAAAATTCAGGATGTTTTATTTGTATTTGTTTTAAGCACTAGAATATTTATGCAAAGTTTCAATCCATTTGGATAAACCCTCGAAGAAAAAAGTGACCAAATTGATTTTGACTAGGGTCGCCCCTAGTCCAAAATTGAAAATGTATTTCCTACTTGGTTCTTTGCTCAAAAAAAATTCAGGATGTTTTATTTGTATTTGTTTTAAGCACTAGAATATTTATGCAAAGTTTCAATCCATTTGTATAAACCCTCGAAAAAAAAAGTGACAAAATTGATTTTGACTAGGGTCGCCCCTAGTCCAAAATTGAAAATGTATTTCCTACTTGGTTCTTTGCTCAAAAAAAAAATCCGGACGTTTTATTTGTATTTGTTTTAAGCACTAGAATATTTATGCAAAGTTTCAATCCATTTGGATAAACCCTCGAAGAAAAAAGTGACAAAACTGATTTTGACTAGGGTCGCCCCTAGTCCAAAATTGAAAATGTATTTCCTACTTGGTTCTTTGCTCAAAAAAAATTCAGGATGTTTTATTTGTATTTTTTTTAAGCACTAGAATATTTATGCAAAGTTTCAATCCATTTGGATAAACCCTCGAAGAAAAAAGTGACAAAATTGATTTTGACTAGGGTCGCCCCTAGTCCAAAATTGAAAATGTATTTCCTACTTGGTTCTTTGCTCAAAAAATTTTTAGGATGTTTTATTTGTATTTGTTTTGAGCACTAGAATATTTATGCAAAGTTTCAATCCATTTGTATAAACCCTCGATGAAAAAAGTGACAAAATTGATTTTGACTAGGATCGCCCCTAGTCCAAAATTGAAAATGTATTTCCTCCTTGGTTCTTTGCTCAAAAAAATTTTAAGATGTTTTATTTGTATTTGTTTTAAGCATTAGAATATTTATGCAAAGTTTCAATCCATTTGGAAAAACCCTCGAAGAAAAAAGTGACAAAATTGATTTTGTCCCTAGTCCAAAATTGAAAATGTATTTCCTACTTGGTTCTTTGCTCAAAAAAATTTTAGGATGTTTTATTTGTATTTGTTTTAAGCACTAGAATATTTATGCAAAGTTTCAATCCATTTGGATAAACCCTCGAAGAAAAAAGTGACAAAATTGATTTTGACTAGGGTCGCCCCTAGTCCAAAATTGAAAATGTATTTCCTACTTGGTTCTTTGCTCAAAAAAATTTTAAGATGTTTTATTTTTATTTGTTCTAAACATTAAAATATTTTTGCAAAGTTTCAATCCATTTGGATAAACCCTCGAAGAAAAAAGTGACAAAATTGATTTTATTAGGGTCGCCCCAAGTCCAAAATTGAAAATTGATTTTCTATGGTGTACCATGGTCAAAAAAATTTTTGGATGTTTTATTTGAATTGACATAATTCTGACATAAATCACATACCAATATTACTTTTTGTAATGCATAGCTTAAAAAAAACGAAATCTAAAATTTCGACTACCTTATCTGAATTTTGTACATACTCTTCACTGTGGAAACCAAAAATCAAATTCTTTAATTTAAAACATTTGACAAAATAGCGACATAATTCAGGATTAATTACTTTTTAATAATATTTTAACATTTCCGAGAATATGTGGTTCAAATAAGTGTGAAGTATGGCCGAGATTTGGACCAAAATCAGCTATACTGGTTCATAGTGTTCCCGAGGGTGACAAAATTCAAACTAAGTGTTTTTGTAGCTGACATAATTATGACATAAATTAGGTATATCTTTTGAACTGTGTCGATATAGGTCTCGGCCGTACTTCACGCCCATCCTTCAAACTTATGCTGAGCAAATCTTGGTCTATCCATAAGACTTTAAATGGTACGGTGTGAATATATCCGCATTGGGTTTCTACCCGATACACAAGTTTAATCGAGGCTATACTTTTTAGGGGCCGTTCAATTATGACGTCCGAAATTAACGGTCATTTTTCAAAAACAAACCATGGATTTCCAGGAATTTATATTGTTCTTTTCTGTCTGACCCCCCCCCCCCCCCCTGGACGTCATAAGTGAACGACCCCTTACTCTTAAAATCTTAATATTACCAAAATCAATGATCCATTTAAAATTGAAATCATATCACTTACCTTTCTGTTCACAATTAAGATTGGAAATACTAAAACTTTAGAAATTGGCGCTTGTTTAAGAAAAAGAAAAGATGCAAAACCTTCAACTAAAGATGCAAAAGTTTGAATCAAAAAGTTCCGTTGAACATCAAATCAAACTCAACACTACACAGCAGCTAAAAACAAAAGAACATTCAATATAATTAATAATGAAACAAAATCTTTCCTCTTTTCGAATTGTTTAAATCATCTTTTTCAAGCTTATATCTTGTATTTTGAACATAATTTAATGTAAATTTAAATCTATTGATTATTAATTAGAAATGCTTCACACGGCAATAATAATAATAATAATAATTCTAAATCTAAAATACAAAAGACTCGATTAGACACTCTTCATTACATTACATAAACTTATTGTATGACTCACTCACAAATATTTATATTGTCTTACTTAAAACACGTTCGAGTTATTTTTTCAAAATATAATAAAATCTACAGCTACTTAAAATGATTAATATAAAATGAGAGAACTTTTAAAGCTCACACTCTATGAATAGGTTTGTTCATTTACTATAGATTTTTCGTTATAATTTATGGCAATATAAAATGAAAATATTTCTGATTTCTTAATTTTATGAGATTTTACAAAATTGGGTTATTCATTTTTTGGGGGTCATTCATAAAAGTTTATATCATAAATGTCACTTACGAACGACTCCTCTTGGAAATAAAACAGTGTAAATGTCAAGCAAAGGAAAAAGCAATTAACTTAAAAATAATAACAGAAATGTCAAAGAAATAATAAATAATCAGGAGATAGTTAAAATAATGACGTAAGTTCTATAAAAATGCTCTTATAAAAAAATGATATCACTTTCACAAGATGGCCAACAACACATTTTCTAATACAATTTAAAGAATATGTTCGTAATTTCTCTAAACTCAGTCACAATCGTCAGTGAAAAATACTAGCTTAAATATTGACAAATGTCCAATAGAATATGTTAAAAACGAAGAAGGCACATGGGAAGAATACTCGTGATCGCCTGCAAATTGAGAAATAATGGAAATTGAGCAAACGTTTTTTTGAGAATTTTGCATATTACGTACTTATCGATCCACATTGATATTTGCTGTGGTGTCATTGTCGTCCACGTTATCTTTTGTTGCTCTTTTTCTTTATCGGTTAGTTCCTTTTGTGGTGCATCTATCGTCACGGAAACAGCACTATGTCCATGCGACATGCCACCGTTTGTGTATGTTTTAAAATCGTCTACACTTTCAGTCGTTATTATCGGAATTGATCCCGAGCCCTGTAAATATGACATCAAAGACTATTTTCAATGGATTGTATAGCGGAACTGCTCAATATTCTTAAAAAATTGGTAAAAATTGTATATATTGGAAGTATTTATATCTACTTACGTGAACTGTGAGACTATTGTCGAATTTAAATTGTCTTCCGTTTAACGGTGACTTCTGATCTTGTTCCTTAATATTCGACCATGAATGGGATTTTTGGAGAGAATTTGGACTGTGGCTCATATCCTTCCTCATCGGTCTTGGAGTTAAGGTTTGCTTCAGAATATTCGATGTATTGACCTTAATGATTAATTCAAAAATTGTTTAAACTGCATTTTGGAATTGAAATTTAAAATTAACAGCTATTGACATACCTTCTTCAGCTCAACATTCTTCTTTCTCCTCCAAATAGTATTTACAAATGCAAACTCGACTAGACTTCCAAAAATAAATCCAGTACATCCCATGAACCAAATCTCAGATGCCTTAATATAACTAACTTTTGGTAATGTCTTGCCTTGCGCTGATGCTAAAGTGATAAAGGTCAACATAGTTGTCGTACCCAACATAACACGCGGTGCTGTTTGATCAGCTTGTAGCCAAAATGACACCCAGGAAATGGAAACAATCATCATTGATGGTAAGAAATAATCCATAAGATAAAATCCCATTTGACGTGCAAGAACGACTGTAAAGCTTAATGAACTATAATTCCCTGCAAATGCACCATGACGTAAATCACTAAGATCAGCATTAATCATTGTCTCATTTGTAAATGTTTTCATTAAAACGTATTCAGTTAAATGTTGATCAGGTCCTAAAGTTATTGGCGATTTTGGTTCCCAATGAAGTTTTACTTGAGAGCCATTGTACATCCAACTTTCGAGAACTGTTTTGCATTGTTGCTGATCAAAAGGAAACTTTCTGAGATCCATATAACAATATAGAGTAGCTTGAAGTCTTGTAGAAATGATGACAGTTCCGTCAGGTGAAATTGAGGTAAGTATGTCCTTTTCGTGTGTTCCTAAAATTCCAGAATCTCTAAAATAACACAAAAATTCAATTACAATATACTTTAACGAAATAATCAATTCACTCACCGTTCATTTGCAAAGAATATATGCGGCACCCACAATTCCTTCCTTAAATCATCCTCACCAAGTATTGGAGTTGTTTTATTCGGAGCGACTTCCCTAAACACAAGTCTCGGGTCAACGTAACGCAATTGAAGCAATGCTTGTATCTTAAATTGTAAATCATGCGCTTCGAGATTCTGTAGAAAATAAATATAAGCGCGAGCGTAAACATCAACAGGCAAAACATGGTTATTCTCATCGCGTGCTGTAATACAATAAGTACAAAACTCAATAAATGTCAAGAGAAATAAATGAAATATTGTGTCAACATACGTTCAGGTCTCTGAATTCGATCATAACGACACGGATGAACGAGACGCTTAAATAATTGCGTTTGAGTTAAGGAATTGGCATTTTCGAATGATGGACAGCCCTCTGATGCTCTGTAAGAAAAGATTAAATTATTAATTATGGTAATTATTTAAATGGACATTCTGCTGCTTTTTGAGATTAAACTATTAATGTGAAAAAGATTAAAATTCAAGATTATCTGAAAATAAATAAAAATACATTTCGAGTTTGTGGTTCGAATCCTATGGTTAAGAGAAGAAAACTCGAAAGCGTCCATGTTGCAATAGAGAATATTGCCCTAGCTTTCTTTTCGACTTAGCTTAAACAACAGTTAACCTCTAATCTTTAAGTTTCTGATGAAAGATGAAATCCAATAATTTAATTCATCTGACTCTATACATCCCCATTAACCATAACACAATCTTAGAAAGTCGTTTACCCATTAGTTCCCATATTTGCTCTATAAAATCTCATTGAATCAACATCAAATAGCTCCTGTGTACAGCTTTTAGCTAAAGTAAAGTTAATGAAAGCCTTCTTAAAACAAATTATCAATTCCGAATCTCATAATTACAATATTTAGTAGGAATATTAATCAGTATATCAATAATCTCCCATAAAAATGCTAAATACAAAATATTAATTACTAGGTGTTAATAAAAAATAATTTATAATCAAGTATGTACAAAGGTTTGCGACTTTTTTTTATTGCACCTCGATTGGAATTAATCCTCATGTTTATTTTTATCAGCTTTCGTTAATCTTTAAATTTTAAAATAAATAAGATGAGGATAAAGGCAAATAAATCATCAAATTGGATATTCCGCCTTAAACTCAATGAAAATAGCACAATTAATCATCAATTTATTTATTCGATACCGGCAATGTGCATGCCATATGTATCAGAATCGTTATAATTGACTATTTAATGTTTCTCGATATCCTCTCACAAATACACACATGTACATAGACATAAGCTCATAGTTTTGTGTGGTTTTGTGAGTAATAAGACCTGATGTCGCCAAACAGATTTTGCAGTTATTCGCGTGAACTTGACTTTCATTTTCATTAAATATACGATCTTTTTCCACAAATGATATAATCATGTGATTGAGAAATAAATTTTAAATTATAAAAAACACAATTTAAAGTTAGTGGTTCAGAGGCGACTCTAGAAATTTATATAGTAAGAAAACTAGTTATAACCGAGATTAATTTTATGTTAAACTGAAAAAGTTATGTAAATGAATTATTTAAAATTAAGTCTGCAATTGAATCTTTGGAATCTGTCATACACCCAACCCCCTCTTTTTTCCGAGATATTTCCTTAAATCCATTATTTGGAGACTTGATACTTTAAATGAATCCTTTTTATTCAATAAGGTTATTTTCACTTAGGGTTTCACTTATAACGTTGGTTTTTTGGGGAGTAGGGAGGTTGGAATTATATTTTCATACATATTATGTAACAAGGGAGGGGAATTTGGGGACCAACTCTGTACAGTTGTTGAACAGGGGTATCAAACCTTTTGAGATTGCTGAAACATCAAAAAAGAACGAGAATTCTAAGAAACAACCCCCCCCCCCCCTCCTCTAATAACTACTATACTGCTAAAAGCCTTGTTAACATTATTAGTATACAGTTATCTGATCAGCCATCCGATCTGGCAGAGACCAATCCCAACACATTATAAATATTCACACAAAAAGGTTTTTTAAAAGCATCCACAAACTAATGTCATACTATTAACGTACGTGCTATATTGTAGCGCGAAACGATTAATAATTCCAATGTTTTAAACAAACTTACGAAGTATTCTTTCTCTTTTGAATCTGCGCTGAATGATTTGCGGGCGGTATCAAAATAACTTTCGACATTGGCGTTGTTGTTGTGTAGTGCTTAGCAGTAAACGATTTAATAACCAATGTCGTGTTTGCATTACTGGTAATTTCTGTAATTTTTACAGTCGTTAATTCAAGATTAACGCTGTTATTATTTTTATTTGATCTATAATTCTTGGAATTATCTTGTAGAGTCACGTCAATGAGAAGATGAAACATAATTACAGGAAGACTCAACATAGCAAAATTACGGAATGTTAAAGAAGTCATAACTAAACAAATAATATGGCACTTCCAGATTCAAAGTTCACAAAACTACAAACTAGCAACAAATTTGTTTTAATTAATAAGTATTAAGACTTTTAGAGAATTAACTTTACAGATCAACAGCTTAAATGTGACTGACTTCAATTACAGATCAATAAATGAGTAAAACATATAGTTAGGAGAATGTGAGAAATCAGCAAGTGACTTTTATGACATCTCGTGCGTATGGGAGTGTCAGTCGATCGCATTTTAGATGATTTTTACATAGCTCAACATGACAATTTTCAGCATATGTAATCAAGGACTTTTTTGAGAGCATAAGAACTGATTAATCTTAGCATGAATTGACATTTACAGTAGAGTTAATGCTATTCTTAAAAAATCTGTAGACCTGTCTGTGGAAATGAGTCAAGTATGAGGAAATTTATGAACTTTTATGATATTTGACGACAAATTGTTTAGAAATAATTTAATTTTTTGTAAGATCAAGTGTCCAATCTTCTTCTTAAACTTTTCTTAGAGAAATTCACGTCTATTGTGTCACTGCAGTCTGAAAAGTTTGAGAAACACAGTTCTATAGACTACACGTGATATTTTTAAGTATTCTTTCTTGTAGCTCTTGTTTCATATTTTCCAGCTTCACTTGAAATTCTTGGTCCGTTCTTTATTCCAGTTTTAAGCATCTAAACTGCTAGAAATGCACAAATCTGAACATAGCTTAATTCGAGCCGATGACTTTCAAGTTACCATACTAAATTTGAACCAATATCTTGCTCATTATTCAAAAGAGGCATTAACAGCTTATGGAGGTTTAACCTACCCTACCCTAAGTTTCCAAAAATAAGTCTAATACATTCAAAAGCAAACTCGAATTTTTCCATAGACATGCTCAGTTATCAAATGTGTTTACATTTGCTGCTCACCGTTTAAAAAGCTAAATTATAATCAAGTCATGCACACTGGGATTAATCCCAATAATTCTGAATAATCCCAGAATTTTTTTGAGTGTCCACGCCTTGATTATAATTCAAAATTGAACTGGTTGCTCACAATCATGAAATTATATTTTTGTGGTTTAATATAATATTTGCATTTAATGACTCAATTAGCAAAAACAACACTGACTGCTTCCATAAATATTATTTTCTCTCTTTTCAATAAAAAAATTAAATACAAAAAAAAAAATGTTCCTTGAAAGCAACGAAGATGACATTAATTGACAACAATGAGGCATTGTCTTTCATGCATTCACATGTAGCTTTTATTATTTATTATTTAGATAAGCAGTCCTGTATGTGTCGAGAGTTACTACGAAATGTCAATTTATGTGCCACAAATTAAAAATTGACTTTAATATTTATCGTCATCTAATAGCGTATTTACTACTTAATGAGAAGAAAAAGAAGATACACAACACAATGTACTCAAAAGAACAAGTTTTCAATAAATTTGAGACTCAAGTATGTAGCACAAATAATAAATAAAATCACAAGACATGTTAATTTAATACAATAATCGTAATTAATAAAATAATCAACACCAGAAGTTATTTTACTTAATTTAGCATGCAAGCTTATGTTTTTGCGAGCGTGAGACATAACTTGTTGTGTCAACGATACAGCTGTGATTCGGAGGTGAAGTAAACTGTAAACTTGTATAGTTTATATTTATTTCGATGCACGCTAAGCTAGGCAATAACAGCAAGGCGGTAATATATTGTGTTTATGACATCTTTTATTTGCACAAACATTAATCGTTCTTGCACCTTTGCTTCTTGAACTTATTTATATGTTTAATGTATTATTTGTGCTAAACTTGAGTTATTTTGTTGGTAAACAAGGAAATTCTTTGTTAAAATTCGGCAATGTCATGACGTAAAATTACGAAGGTTAGTATGAATATGTTATGGTAATTAAATTGGAATGTTCTATTTTTTCGTATTAAAGTGTAGATTAAGACGCTTAATTTCAGCCAACGAGGGTTTTTCACCTGACATAAAAGATATTTTGGTCAAAACAATAAATCCTACACAATAATTTATTAATATCACGTAAATTTACAATAGAAGCCGCTACAAGAAAAATCTTAGAATCTGATAAAATGGGAATTAAGAATATTGACCATCGAATAAGCTTCTAGAAAAAGCAGGTTAACAAGACATCAACAAGAAGATACAGATGAGGAAGTACGGCTGAAGTGAGTATACACTTTGTCAGAAAAATTCTAGAGTTAATATCATTTCTAGGACGAAAACACAAGTTTGTTACACCGCCTTTCGTTGCAATAAACAATTAAAGAAGCCCTAGTCTTAAAATAATGTCAGCTTGATGTGTGGACAGTGAAATTGTACAAACCAGGTGACAGAGCCGAAACAGAGTCAGATGGAAAGCCTAAGCTCCACAAAGGAACATGGTAAGTTTGCATTTAAAGAGTCACGACTAACGGGGTCTGTACCTAGATACCTTGTGCTTAGCATATATCAGATTATATTCTTGAATGATTGAGCAAGTGGTTCGGATTCCTCTATCAACCAGACCTACAAGGTTATGGTACAATAGATTTACAATAGCAAAGCCTTCAGCTCAAAAAAGACCGAGTCCTTAAAGCATTACAAATACATACAGTAGCGCTCAAAATGATAAGGACAGCAACATTTTTTTCACATTTTTATTAATTTTGACGCACAGGATTATCTAAATTTGCTGAAATTTGGACCAGTTATACAGTTTTAAATGTCCTTTCATACAATATATACTAATTGTACTTTAATTAAATATTTTTGAAAAAAACGGTAAAAAATCAAAATGGCTGCCGCTCAAAATGATAAGGACAGTAGATTATGTTAAGATTTTATTGTATTAAGTAATATTATGGAACTTTTAAGACTTAAAACATTATGTTTGATGAATATTCTTTAAATAAATTTTTAATTCACGCTTCTAGATGTAAGACTTCTTACTTAATTTTAGTGTTTAAAAATATGTGAAAATTTTGTCAATTTATGATAAATTTTCGTACAGAAACTTGTTTATTCTTTAGGTTAACTACCAAAAATTATAGATAATTTGATTATTTATCAATTATGATCAAACATTTAAATAAGTGTTAATTAATGTAAATTTTTTTCAACAATTTTATTGTTCCTTTGCAAAATTTTTGTGAACTGAAGTGGACAATTTGAAAAAAATTATTAAATATTCGCAAGCAATCGTTCTCTATGAGCTTCTCAAGACAAAAAAATATGAAGAAATATTTTTTTGTAAAAATGTTAAATTTAGCACTCATAGAATACAAAATAGAGTGTTATTCGATTAAAAAAGCCAAAGGTAATTATTTTATGTTAAAACTTCACTTATGTAAATCATATTTTTTTAGGTTTCAACACATTTTTCATTTTTGCCATATCAAAAAGTCTTGTTGTTGAAAGAGAACGATTGCATAGTCACTTAATCCTTTCGAAGCGGTTCAATTGCTTGATATATGTTATTAAACAATTAAAATGGAAGAGAAATATACTAATTTAAGCATTGTTTTGCGAATATTTAATAATTTTTTTCAAATTGTCCACTTCAGTTCACAAAAATTTTGCAAAGGAAAAATAAAATTGTTGAAAAAAATTTACATTAATTAACACTTATTTAAATGTTTGATCATAAATTGATAAATAATCAAATTATCTATAATTTTTGGTAGTTAACCTAAAGAATAAACAAGTTTCTGTACGAAAATTTATCATAAATTGACAAAATTTTCACATATTTTTAAACACTAAAATTAAGTAAGAAGTCTTACATCTAGAAGCGTAAATTAAAAATTTATTTAAAGAATATTCATCAAACATAATGTTTTAAGTCTTAAAAGTTCCATAATATTACTTAATACAATAAAATCTTAATGAAAGGATCACCGATCTTCATACAGAAGCGAAAATACCGTCCATCAAAGACTACGTCGGAAAGTTGCAAGCGAACTTCAACAGTCGTCTTGCATCTCAAAACACCGAATAAATCAAATGAAATACAAAAGAAAGTAAAATCCGTAAATGAAATCAAAATTAAGAGACAAAAGGCAAATTGAATGCCTGAAACCTTAAAACAAAAAGCAACAAAATGTATAGAAACTTTGTACATACTTAAATTTAAATGTAAATAAATAAAAAGTTTAATTTAAAAAAAAAAAAAAAACAATAAAATCTTAACATAATCTACTGTCCTTATCATTTTGAGCGGCAGCCATTTTGATTTTTTACCGTTTTTTTCAAAAATATTTAATTAAAGTACAATTAGTATATATTTTATCAAAGGACATTTAAAACTGTATAACTGGTCCAAATTTTAGCAAATTTAGATAATCCTGTGCGTCAAAATTAATAAAAATGTGAAAAAAATGTTGCTGTCCTTATCATTTTGAGCGCTACTGTATATAGAAAGATTAAAACTAAAGATACGAAATAGATTTTGGCATTCAACACTAAGATGTTGGATAAAAGGCACAAAATCGAGCAACTTTTACATAAACATCTTTTTAATTTGTTCTTGAGTTGAATTCTTGTTTCATCACTAGTAAGTCTTAAAGAGTATATGAAGATCTTGGTATAATTTCTAGTTGTATATTCCTTTAAAGAAAACTTTTAATCTAGGAAGTTTTGTATTTTTAGATATAATTTGACAATATTCTTGGTGAAAGAATTCGAATAGCATCACAAAATATCTACCATAAATATGATTAATCCCAATAAAAACTATTCATGTTACTTGAATATTTTTAATAATAATAAATTAACTTGAAAAATTAATGGCACTAGTCTTACTCTTAAAACACATGCACTTACAATAATTAATTTCTTTTCAAAATCTATAATAATTTTAAACCCTAATATCTACAAAATAAGCAATCACAAGAACACTATAATAATCAATTTCATATATAGATCAATTAATCTTTATAGCTATAAATTAATGCGAACTGGTAGGCTGTAATTTTTCCTAGAAAATTATCATAAAATGTCTCGCTATAATTCACTTGAATATAGTTCAGTGCTACAGAACTCAACAAATGATTCACTTCAATAACAAAAGAAATTTTGTTTTTCTTATCAGACAAAAAGACAAAGAAAAATGAGAATTAATTAAATTATTCGCCTTATAATTCGTTCAAATATTTGCATTAAAGCCAATGTCAACTGGTAGAATTTAGAAGGTTTCTTATCGCATCGCGCTAGTCAGTTTGGCTTCTTCTGCATTAATTGAAGTCTCTCATTTTATTCAGAACGGAGACTGCACCTCTTGTATGTATGTAAACTCATTAATTATCACAGAAAACGAGGCGAAAGGAATCTCGCACAATTTATCATTACATCCGTATCGCATGCCAGCATGGAACGTACTCGCAATTATCATTAATATTAAGTATTTCTATGTGTTCTTGTCACAATAATTACCAAGAACCCGTTCATCTTAGCTCTAGCTATGCTGCTTCCTATTGAGACTCAATTGAGATACCATAGAAATTATTCTTATCCATTCTATTTTGTTCTACAGCATAAAAATAATTTTTTTATGCGCAATTTTGTCGTTAGCTTGGAATTTCTCATAGATCAGCCTTTTAAGGCGCCGTTAAAAATTATATTTAATGGATTTTACAAGAATTTCAAGCGTAAAAGTTTAAATATTTTGAATGAGTAATAGCGATGGTTGAATGGAGGCAGTGATTCCAAGATGAAACATGTTTTCAATTAGCAATTTGTTCAGAAATAGCTAGTAATTATAGCAGAAATTGATTAGAGGTCGTTCACCCTATAAACCTTTTGTGTTTCTTTTGGTTACATGCTATTAATTTTGACAAATAGTAAGAGTCCTCGATTTGATTAGATTCGATTTGAACATGATATTTGTGGAACAAAACAACTACTCTAATCGAGGACCCCCAGTAGATCTCGAGTTACTTTAGAACTACCAAGTGTACACTCAGGATTAACTCCAAAAATCTCAATTTTTTTCTTGACATAATTTTAGTTTCGCATTTCATCTATTAGGGATTTCTAGTGTAATTCAAAATATTATTTTAGAAAGAGGTGGAATTAATATAGAGTTTAATAAGCCTGGCTTGTTGTGTTAAAGCAGTGTTTCTTAAACTTTTTTGTTCCACGGCACATTTTTCTACTTAAATTTTTTTTTGAGGTACACCTAGATTTCTTTCAAAACACATCATTGTGCCGTAGAATACAGTTTGAGAAACACTGCGATAATGTTTAAGATGCTGCACGGTTTGTAAATGACTCGGTGGTAAGTATGTGGAACTAATCAGTCACGTTTTGATCAATTTTGATCAGTTCCTCAACTTTTGCTCGATATCCTAGTAGATAACGATTTGAGCTAGTAATTAAGATGTCATGGGTATGGGTTCAATTCAAGGCTTGAGCTATTTTTTCCACAATTTTGCAATTGGAGGAGAGGGGGAGGATACTATATTCTATATAATTTTCTTTTACACAAAATTTGTTACCCATTGAAACAAACAAACCCTCTTTATTTCATTCTACTGATAAAAACTAAGAAAATACAACGTTCTTCCATTCAAGTACAGTGCGATGATGACACTACACCAGTTTATCGCTTATCGCAAGCTCACCGAAAAATGTCATCGACTAATTTATTAAATTCTTGTGTATGATTACGAGCAAGCAACGATGAAACTATTTCCATATACTTTTTTTGTTATGCACAATAACATGAAATATTTTAATTAATATTTAAACGAAAATTTTAGATGATGAAAAAATTTACTTTGTATGATTAAAAAGAAAAGGAATAAATTCATTAATATTTGCGTAACAAATTTCTATCGTTGATAAGGTAAGAAAAAAAAGTAAATTTAAGCGGTGCACATGCTGTGCACTTGACATTCATTGTTGTTTCGTCGTAAAGTTTGTTCGTGATCAGTGCAGTAAACAAAATTGCTTAGCCGATACGATGTTTACTTTCTGGGTATAAGACTGAACTAATTTTTCTATCTATTGTCTTCATAATTGCTTTTTGGGAAGCTCACTGACTTGCTTAATCACTTTGGAATCGACGATTTGCAAATTTTGTGATTAATTATTTCGACAACTGGATGAACAGGTTAGTGACATAAATATGCAAATAACCTTTAATGATTCAGCCCAACCTTCATAATTACCGAAAATTCAAGTACTCGGAAGTAATAAAACAGTCGGTAAATGATTCAAGAATATAAATGGAATTACTGCACTTCAAGTGAAGATATTAAAGAGACGAGTCTCTTGATGATAAGAATAAGAGTCATAAATTCAGTTATGACTAGAAATTTGCCTGAATTAAAAGAGTATTTGACGTCAAAGTTAATTATTCAAAAGAATCATAAAGCATCTATCTTGAGCAGTTAGCTATTAATTTTTGACTCTGTATAACACACACACGAAAATGTGCAATCTGTATCATGAATTACAAAAATATGACAAATGACTAAAGTCGTTGACTACACACGACTATTGACACATTATTCAATGAAGAATATTAATGATATTTCTCATAATGAATGAAGTAGTGTGATCAACACGACTATTGACACCATTTTCACTAGACCTTTAGATAATGACATTGTGAACTATATATGATGTTGCAAAAAGTTTCTTTTTGATGGCACCTTCTACACAGTCTGGCACTCAATTTTCACGGATGAATCACTTTTCTTTATTCCAAAGACTATCAAATCCCTAAGACAACGCATTTCTCTTATTAAGCTGCTTTTCAACTTAGAAATAAATCAAATTTAGCATGTCCAATGTCTGACTTATTCACTAACTGTCCATAGATCAATTCTCATTCAAAAAACAGCAAAACGAACAATACTAAATCACACAAAAATAAAAAATACTTACTGTGCTGCTATCACTGTCAGCCTTGATGGTTTTTTGGACGTAACATCTAATTTCTCAATTTGTGCTTCAACAGTAGCTGGTGGAATCAACATATCAGTTGTTGTTGTTGGCACTGTACTGGTAGCTACTGTTGTCTGAGTTTCGGTATCATTTAACGTTTTTTCAGCTACTGTTGACGTTAAGTTATTGTTATCAGTACTTTGTATCGTGGAGTTTTCGAGGAGCTTTGTCACATCACTCTCAGTCGATAAATTTAATTGTGTAATTTTATCATGATTATTTTCACTTTGAGTTGAATTTTGTGCAACAGCAATTAGGGAAATTTGTAGCAGCAACGTAATCACAACTTTTAGAATTTCCATTTTTTCACGTTTTAAATTGTCTTTATTTTTATTTTTTGTCTCGAATTAATGAATTGCCTCCAGTTGATCTGAAGTGAATTAAAGTGGCTCAATTAATCGACCATTGATGCGAATTATGTCTATAAATGTTCAATTTAAAAGTTTTCTGAATTTTAAAAATATAACGGCATTTTTAAATTCAAAAATTAATACTAAATTCAAATTTTAGTACAAAAATACGTTAGCGATTAAATCTCTGAATTCACTTCTTATTTCATTGTAATTACACACTTTAAGACTCATTGGAAATGGATTAATAATGGCAAACTACCGATCGCGTCAAGTATCAAGTCACAACTGAACTGTATAAAATATTTTTGCTCTGAAACGCTCACCAGAGCTCTTAAATTACTTGTGCTTTTCGCAAAGATCTCAACGAGTAAACTGAATATTCTTTCTCATGCTTTGCCGTGTTTTAATAGCCGACTATACACTCTCACTTCTATTGTACAGGCACCAAGTAATAGTTTATATTGTATTTTAATTTTATTTATTTTTTGTTTTTTCGTTTTGCCTTACTTACTAAGAAAGTGATAAAAATACTTTTTATGGCTTATCGGTCCGCAAAGATACACATACTCAATTATTTTGACTCAAGGATGTTCTTTACTGGATGTTTTGTAGACCATGAAAAATAAACCTTAAATCAAGTTCAAATGTGTACTGGATATGACAAAGCATGTCTTAATGACACAATTGTTATGAAACTAATGGCAATAACATCCAGTAGCCTCTTCCAGAGAAGTTTTCATCACTAATTGAAAATATCGATGAAAATTGACATTTCATTGTCTCGATAAAGCGCAACAAGTCTATAAATATGACGTTATCACTGCCGTATCGATAAACAACTACATTTGGAAGTAATTAAGTGTTTATCTAGCTATTTCTTGTTGACAATTTTGATGTAAACTTAATGCGAGATTTTGCTTGATTATTTTAGCGCCACTACTTACTTTGTATTCGAGGATCATCCACTTTTGTCACAACAGTTGTTTATATTGGTTTATATAGTCAAATGTCACTTTTTTGCTTAAATTAAATTTTCATGTCAAAATTATAAAAATATTGCTGTCATAAAATTCAACGAATTTTTCAAATTCAAAAAAGTGTAAAGATGTACTAAACATTCAAAATAAAAATATACGTTAAATTTAAAAAAAGTTCGTTGAATTTCTAAAGCATGGCAACGTACATTTGATATCTATCTGAACAAGCTGTTTACTTTTCTGAGAAGAACTTTTTTGAGAAAAACAAGTGATAAGTAACATGAATCATATCAAAGCACGAGCAAGTGAATAGCTTCAATATCATATTTAAACTTCGTATGACTAAAATTATGACGACAAATAGAACGTGAGGTAGGAGATGTAAATAAAGAAATTAAAAGACAATTTTGTAATCCAGCAGACACCTCAAAAACAAATTGAAATTTTGAAATATTAGCAAAAGTTAATTAATAAGTCAAAATTTTCGTGAATCGAACCTAATGCAACCTAGCATAAATCATATTATTATTCTAGTTAAGAAATTTCTAGTATTTACGAAAATATAAAAGTTTGAACAAATATTTGATAAAAATTAATTAAAATTTATAATTTCTTAATTATACTTACGAAGAAATTGCGCAAATGAGAATCCAAATAAGATATAGTTCCGTCTTCAATGTTACGTCACAAAAAAGAACTTGCACAAATATTTATGCTAATTTTTTGTCACACGGATGAGCACGTGGCATAATCGTGAACTAATTGACCATAATTAATGAGAATTATTAAAATTATGAACAACAAAAAATTTTGTTTTGATTAAGAAGGTGTAAAGCTTAATCAATTATTTATGCATTCTCACGACTTTTCTCATGTTAACTCCATTATGAGTTAATTTATCAATTTAATGTGGCATAATTGCATTTACCTTGTCGAGCTTGCTGACGGCATGCTCATGCATAGATGTGCCAAAAATTACTTATAGTCTTGATTCCAATAGCAAGGTCTGATCGGTTGTGGCGGCAACAAACGCACACACATGATTTTTGCGCATAAATTTGCATTTAAATCTTTCTTCTCTTGATTTATGATTTTTTTGTGCATTCGCATTTTTGTGCTGCGTGATTTTATTTTGATGCATTGCGTTTGATTCAGTTACTTTTTATTTTGGACTGAAAACTAGAATTTGTTTTTTTAACGATTTTGTTTTTGTAAAATTTGAATCATAACGGTTTTGTAAAAATTGAATTTTTAAGGTTTCAAAAATTCAAATTTTAAAAAACCGTTAAACTTTAAATCTGATCTAAAGTCCGTTTTTACTAGCTTCGTCTGCAAATATTTATCAAACAGTGATTGAAAAGGCAGCTCCCTTCAAAATTCTCTCACATTTCAAAGTCTATTGACAGCTAATTAATGAGATCTTTCAAGAAACACAAAAAGAATTGCAACAAGCAGAAAAGATGTACTGAAAAAATGGAAAAAGTCAATAAATTAAATTTATCAGCTTCCTGAATATTAATTTTCTTTATTTCTGTTTACATCATTTGTGTCGCATGCAGTAAATATCGCATCGTAACAATTGCTATTCTTTATTTCATGGCAACATCACCGCCATAGGGTTGCATGCAGCGCATTGTATATTCTACAAATTTAAGGTCCTTTAAATACTCGGTCATTCGCTTAAAATGTCTATCGCTGTATGGCAGAGCATCTTCAATTATTTTACCCAAGCCTTCTACTTTATACTTTCCACTTAAAATCTCTTGTAGCATGATGTTAAAGACGAGCTGTGCTGGTTTACAATTTCTACTATTTGTATTCCAATTTACAGCATGTTGAAGCAGCTGCTGCTTATGAAATTCCGACAAACTCTCAATTGTTGCATCAAGTCCTTCCTCTTGATTCCTAATTATTGTATTGATGATTTTAAGTGTCATATTGGGACGATTTAATCTTAAAGCTAGTCTCAATGCCTTCAACATTTGTTTTTGATGTAAATAATTATTTAATTCTTGCTCGTGAAGGACTTCTTCTTGTTTCTTTTTAAGCTCATCTTTCTTCTTTATATCTGTCATGTCTCGCCATTTAATTAGTGTTGAATCAGCACCGCCACTAAACATTAACTTTTCATCGTCAGTTATTGCCAATGTCCAAACTTTACTTTCATGTTTTTCAATCGTTTGAATGCATTCAGAGCTTTTTATTGTCCATAACTTAATTAAACCATCAGCACCAGATGATAATAATTGCATTCCATTAGATATAAATTCACATCTAAGAACGGAGCTTTCATGACCTTCAAAACTCTTCAAACATGTCATATCGGTGATATTCCAAAGTCTCATTGTACAATCGGCTGCACTAGTTACAATGACTTGATCTACAGGTGAGAATCGTACTGTCCATACACCACGACGATGCCCTCGAAAAACACCAATTAATTTGAGATCATTTGCATCCCACATTTTCACTGTCTTGTCTTGAGACGCTGTGGCTATATAACGATCATTTGGTGATATTGTGACACAATTTATGTCTTTTTCATGGGCGAGTTGTGTATTGATGCACAATAATTGCGGAATTTCGTCGTCTATCATTTCAATCATCTTTGGGAATTTCCATAGCTTTAAACACTGATCCTGACTTACTGATACGAAGAAACTTGCTGCTGTTTTACTCATATCGACACTTCCCACGGAATTTGTGTGTTTTGATCCAATTCCTATGCATTCGAAAGTAAAGTTTTCAAAATCAGCTTTCCATAATCTTATTGAATGATCTTTTGAAGATGAAAGGAGATAGTTTTTGTATTTTGATAGTGATAATACGATGTCCGAGTGTCCTTTAAGAATCTTTGAATTCATTGTATATGTATCATAAACTTTGATGTCATTGCTGTTCGTTGCCATCGCCAAATATTGACCCTTACTGTCTGTAAAATGAATAAAGATGAATTTTAATTAATTTAACATTTATTAAGTTTTAACGGAAATTTGTGATTTGAAAAAGTTGGTTAAAATATTTTTTGACCGTTATTCTTTAGAACAAGAGTTTGGCAATAAAATTTGAAAATATTTTGGACCGATGCTTTTAGAACAAGAACTTACCCATCAAAACTATGTCTAAAATTTCGTCAGTAAATCCAATAAGCTGCTTAGCACACTCAAAAGTCGACATATCATGGACAATAATATTATGATCGTAGCTGATAAGTGTAATTTGCTGTAATTGTTGATTGAAAAGCATTTGTGTGATTGCTAATCCACCTTCTTCAGATGCTCTAGAAATAACACCCGATGCCTGTTTATACAAAATTTTAGCTTCATTAGCCTGCCATATTTTTATGATGCCTTCCTCGCCAGCAGAAGCAACATAAACTTTAGATTCATCATTCAGTTCAATATTATTAGGCAATGTGATGTTGTAAGGAAGAACAATAGCACATTCAATACTTTCATAGACTGGAATCGTTCGAATTTGCTTTTCATGCTCAAAATCCCACAGAATCATGACTTTATCGCGACTTGATGAGATGAAGCTTTTGGAATCAAATGAAAAAGATATGGAAGTGACTCTAGAAATGTGTCCAGAAAAGGTTTTAACAATTTCTCGTGAATCTAGATTCCAAGCATAGATCTTAGTGTCATCACCTGCACCAATTAAGACATTTTCTGTTGGATGAAAAGCTAAAGCACTAACAACACCTTGAATTCCTTTAACTGTGCCTTTACAGACTTGATTACTAAAATCCCATATCCTAATAAGTGAGTCAGCACCGCCTGATGCCAAAAGATCCAAGTTCGAGCAGTATTGAAGGCAAGAAATCGGTCCTCGATGCAAATTCTTCCAAGTTTTCTTTAATTCACCAGACATGAAATCCCAGAGCTTAAGCAATCCACTTCTATGTGCTGATATCAGGAAATCATCATTGGATGTAAGAATAAAGGTATAAATTATGTCTTCACTTCCTTCTTCTTCCGAGTGTCCAATAACTCGTTCTACTTCCATTGATCTCATTGAAATGACATTAATTTTATGCTCATCTCGACACAAAAATCTCGTTCCATCCATCGTCCATAGTACTGTTCCGCCTGTATAGAATGCTCCATACTGCTTTTCAGCTTCAAATCTAGTTTCATTTTGTATGAGCATTAATTAAACTCTTTTTAAGCATATCTAGCAATTTTACTTACATTTCTTTTAGCTTCACTGATTCTTCCATGGTTTATGATGTAGTCTATCTACTTTAATCAATGATTAATTGCGTATTACTTGAGAATTTAATTTAATTTAATTTTACTTAAAAAAATCACGTTTTTGTTTTCAAAACAAACTGAAATATTCCACTAAGGTTGTTGCTCCCCTGCAATAACAAGTTTTGTTTACATTCAGAAAATCACTTATTTCTACTTTATATAATTAAATATGCTAGCTACTAGATTAAGTCACATAAACTTCATCAACAGAACTGTATCCTCATCACTTAAGATATCAATATCATCACTTCCTTCAGCTTATTTGAGTCAAAGAAGTTATTCGACAGAAAATGAAGGAACCAAAGTGAAGTTAAGTGCCGCAGAGGAACTAAAAAAGAATTGGGAACCAATTTATAGGTTTCCAAAGATTAAGACAGTTTCGTCAGTCATGAAATTGAAGAATTATCAACTTACAGCGACTGTTTTTGGACTTCCAGCAGCTTATTACTTCTTTGCTGATTTTAATAATTTACTGGTTGTTGGATACACTGGAACATCCTTAGTATTGACATTGAGCTTTATCAGCTACTTGCTGAAGAACTCTGTCGGTTTTATTTATGTGAACAAAAAAGACAGTGAATTAGTTCGAATAGCATACCTAAACTTTTGGGGCGTTAGAAGAGACAGTGAAATTAAGATTAAAGATATTGTGCCATTTTCGGACCTACCAAACAGCATAGCTAGTAAATTCTACACAAATCTGAAGTTTAATGGGCATGAAGACCTAAAAATGCTGTCTAAGGAAGTAGAAATATTAGATTATGACAATTTCTCTCGCATTTTTGGTGAATAAATCAAATAAAAAACTAGAAATATTCTTAGAAATGAATTCAATAAATTTATTAATTGCATAAAACTATCTCAAATGTCGCTAATGATTATTTAAAATATTCAACGACTTTTTTAGATTTAAAAAATAATAGCTTTCAAAATTTTGAATTCTTAGAACAATAAGCTGTACTAAAGTTTCAAATTAGAGTAATGCGTTACATTTTGAATCACAAAAAGTCGTTGATAAATACAAATCATTTTACAGCAAATAACTCGACTAATTTAGCTCCATCTGTAATGAGCATAGGCTCTGTTGGCTTCACATAATCTGTGCAAATCGTGCTTTCTCTTTACAACACGTCCAGAATTATTAGCAGCATCCAGCAGCTCAAATGCCATCTTTTCAGGTAAATGAGTTTTACGATCATGTTCTCTAGATGCTTCAACAAGCCATTTACAGGCACGATAATATGAACTTTGCTCACTAATTGGAACTGGAACTTGATATTTAACACCACCACGACGAACTGGAGTAACCATAAGAATCGGTCGTACATTCTCAATTGCCATATGAAGGATTGTAACTGGATTAAGGACAATATTCTCTTTTTCTTCTTCGGTTTGTGCTTTATGATATCTCTCAATCTGTATTCTTTTAATCCTCTCAAAAGTTTCAGACATCAACTTTCTCGCTAGTTCCTTTTTGCCTCCTTGCATGATATAATTCACCATTTTACTGACACGATGGTCATGAAAAACACTAGAGTTGTCATTGTTTCTTGGTGCTTTAATAGGAACGAATGCAATCTTAGATATTTCACCGCTTTTAATTAATGCTTCTTGTTCATCCTTTTTGAAGACTGGATTTATGAAATGAGGTTCATACTGTGAATAATTGTTTGCTAAAATCGTTGGCGATGCTCTTGAGAACTTTGTAAACTGTAATATGTTCCTCAACATATTCTAAACTGCGTGATAATGATTAAATTAATAAATTTATATTTTCACGCGAATTTTTAAGAACAATCAGAGTTGGTTCTTGTTTACAAATTATTTGAACTTTTTATGAACGTTAAAATCTCGTGCAGCAGTTTTATGCTCGTACATTATAAGATATGGACAATTTTAGTTGAAATACAACCTTCGAAAGATCCAGTGAACCACTCCAAAAGATGATTGTTAAGGTTCCATTACATGACAATGATGTATTAAGCATAATATGATTTTTACTTTTAGTACAAAAGTCTATCCAAAAATATAGCGTATAGAACCAGATCCAGAAGCAACTCTGTCATTTAGATCCACAAAAGATTTCATTGAATTAAATAACAAATGTCGGAAATACCTAAAGTTAAGCATTTGGATCGCAAATTGAAGCAATCTGAAGTCGATTTTATGAAATTGATTGAGGAACAGAACATCCAAAGAGTTTTAAAGCTGAAAAAGACGAGAAAGAATAACATTTTGACAGGTAAATATAAAAATTGCCGAAAACTCATTTAAATTAAGTTAATTAATAATTCTAATATTGTCATGTAGCTGTAGCACTTGGTGTTTCTGTATTAGGTATCTACGGATACTCTATGTATGCAGTTAAACAAGAGAAATTTTTAGATGATTTTGAAGAACCTGCAAAAGAAGAATTAACACAAAAACAATTATAATTAAGCATTAAGTAATTATGGCAACAATGGCATCAGTTCGTATCCATCGTTTACCACCATTGCCAACAATCCGTGATTTAATTCGTTTATATAAGTTACGTGCTTTAAAGCAATTCTCTCAAAATTTCTTAATGGATGAGCGACTTACAGACAAGATAGTGAAAGCAGCAGGTCGTATAGAAAATGGACATGTCATTGAAATTGGTCCAGGACCAGGCTCTATAACAAGATCAATTTTAAGACAATATCCAAAGCATTTAGTTGTAGTTGAAAAAGATCGTAGATTTATGCCTACATTAGAGATTCTAAAGGAATCAACTCAAAATGTCATTCAAATGGATATAGTACGTGATGACATCTTGAATTATAGATGTGAACATGCTTTTCCTGATTGTCATGCTACTGACTGGAATGATAAAAATCTTCCTAATGTTCATTTAATTGGAAACTTACCATTTGCCATTTCAACACGATTACTCATTAACTGGATCAGAGATATGAGTTTAAGGCAAGGAGCTTGGACATACGGAAGAAGTAGTTTAACATTAACATTTCAATTGGAAGTTGCACAACGTATTGTTGCTGGAATGGCTGATGATCAAAGATGTCGATTGTCATTAATGTCACAGCTATGGGCTAAGCCTGAATTGAGATTTATTATACCAGGTAAGTGTTTTAGTTTACATTTAAAACTATTAATTAATTTTGTAACGGGCTCAAGTTATTCAAATTTCAACGGTTTCAGTACTAAATTCAATTTTAAGTACACAACATAACATTCAAATATCTAAAATATGTTACTTTTTGAAATTTCATCAGGAAAAGCCTTCGTTCCTAAACCAGACGTTGATGTCGGTGTTATTACAATGGTTCCCCTAAAAACACCACAAACTGACCTTCCATTTGAGCTTATTGAGAAAATTATGCGATATATATTCTCATTAAGGCAAAAGTATGTCCGTCGAGGAATCCAGAACTTATTTCCACCAACAATTCGTGATGAAATGACAGTCCAATTATTTAAAAATGCAGAAGTAAATCCAGAACTAAGATCCTTTCAATTATCTAACGACGAATGTGTAAGAATCGCTAAAGCTTACCACGAAATCATCCAAAAATATCCGAAAATTGATCAATATAATTATCGCTCACCTTTCGCAGAGAGACTGCTTTGGGACAATTGGGATTTAGAATCAGTGTAGTTTTTATTATTTTCAAATAAATGATATATAGAACATGTATTGTAATTAAACAAAATATTCTTAAGATCGTGTTTTAATAAGCTGCTGCATTCATTGGCTCGTCTGCAAGTCCACAAAGGACATTCATAGCTGCTAACGAGGACATGTCATTCCTTGTTCGAATAGTTGCTGATCCTAAATGTGGGATGATGACTGTAAAGAAACAATTTCAAGAATCAAGTTAAACTGACAGATTTATATTAAATCCAATGAGTTTAAATTTAACTTAAGGATTAAAATTAAAACCACTGTTTTAAAATTAATCTAAGGTTTAATCTAATCACTTACAGCAATTAGGAAGTGTTAGCAATGGATGATCAGCAGGCAATGGTTCTGGACTCATAACATCCAATCCAGCTGAGAAAATCTTATTGTTCTTTAATGCATCATATAAAGCTTCTTGATCCACAATGTCACCACGTGCTACATTAATCAACACGCTTGTTGTCTTCATTTTTGAGAACACTTCAGCATTAAACATCTTTCTAGTCTCGTTCGTTAGTGGACATATGATAAAGATGAAGTCACTTTGAGCAACCAAATCCATAAAAGGAACAAATTTTGCGTTGTACTTTTCAGCTGCTGGTTTTGGACGATGACCACAATATAAGAATTGACCTACATTAAATCCAGTAAGCCTCTTCGCGATTGTTTCACCTATAGCTCCGAATCCAACAATTCCAACAGTTGAATCACGGATTTCTTGTCCCAAAAGCCATTGCTGACGACGTTCCCATTCCGAAGATTCAATCTTTTGACGTCCTTCATGAAATCTTCTAGAAGCTGCAATAGCAAGTCCTACACCAATATCAGCCACAGCATCATTGAGGACATTTGGAGTGTATCCCAATGGGATTTTCCTACGCTTAACTTCTTCCAAATCAACATAATCAATTCCAACCGACATTGTCGATATAGACTTTAGTTGTGGACCAGCCATATCTAATGCTTCAGCATCAAGCTTTTGATGACTTCCCCAAAAGATTCCATCCATTCCCTTAACTTTTTGGAGCAGTTCAGATCTTTCACCAGTCTCAACGACTGTGACTTCACATTTTTCACGTAACAGCTTTAATCCAGTTTCAGGAACATCATTATGAGTGACAAGAACTTTTGGTCGCCAATTAGGATCTTTAAATTTGATATCCTTGATTAAAACCATCGTTTTGTAGAATCTGTAATGAAAAATGTGAAATATGTTGTAATTAACCAACAGTATCTGATGATATAAAGATGTAACAAAGTATAATGGCACCTTTTGAATTGTAATTTATGAAAAAGCATTGACTGATGCCTAACGCGTTCCGTTTGATAATGAATTGTGGAAAAATATTGGCAATGAAAACAAAATATCTGCTTTATCGCTAAATAAACAGAACGATTGAGTATATTGAAAAGCTTTTGATGTAAATATGTTCTTATGTGTGTTTCATGATGCACTTACATGTGTTGGAGATTCTGAGAATTTCAATTGCTGGATGTTTTTTACACAAACAAAAAAGGAATTAAGCTTTTACAAAGAAAACAATTTAAAAGTTCTAGGCAGCAATAAATCTCAATTACAACCACAGATAATATTAAATATGTATGTGTATAAGGCTTATACAGCATGTACTCAGTCATTATCTATTCAGTTTTATTGATACGGAAATTAATCTACTTGATTGCATCATAGGTAGTATATCTAAATGAAGCATGCAAATTGCACTGACTGTCTTATCAAAGCTTATAACCTTTCCTATGATAAATTTGTGACGGTTGAGTTTTAGTGGCGTAATGACATTTATTAATATTTCATGCAAATATTGATTGGTTTATTCTAGTTTAATTAATTATTTCTGAAAGTGTTGGAGGCATAATTAGGTTGAGTTAATTTTTATGATATTTTGGCGTTAAAAGTTTATTCTGTCTCAAAGCATGAACATAATATTTATCTAATGATAAAAACAATTGACATCATAAGGGGCCGTTCACTTATTACATTCGCATTTTAGGGGGGAGGGGGGGTTTGAAAAATTGTAACTAAATGTAACATAGAGGGGGGGGGGGGGGGTGTCAAGAAGAATGTAACGTTCTAACTGTCGTCTGTCTTTTAATAAAAAGTTCACGAAAAAAATTTGAATTATGAACGTTAGGGGGGTAGGGGGGAGGGGGGGTTGTAACATGTTTTAACACTCTTCAGAACCATATACTCAGTTTGGGTTTTTATTATTATCAAATAAATGCTTTCCAGGACATGTAGGCTTAATTTTAAAAATATATATATCCATGCTCTTGTTTTAATAAGCAGCTGCATTCATTGGCTCGTCTGCAAGTCCACAAAGTACATTCATGGCTGCTAATTCTGCCATATCGTTTGCTGTTCTGATTGTTGCAGATCCTAAATGTGGGATGATGACTGAAAAGAAAGAGAAAGTTGGTAAATATTGTAGGTCAAAATGTTCCTAGAATCTTAAATAAATCGTAAGCTTAGCATCTAGTCACGTACAGCAATTAGGAAGTGTTAGCAGTGGATGATCAGCAGGCAATGGTTCTGGACTCATAACATCCAATCCAGCTGAGAAAATCTTATTGTTCTTTAATGCATCATATAAAGCTTCTTGATCCACAATATCACCACGTGCTACATTAATCAACACGCTTGTTGTCTTCATTTTTGAGAACACTTCAGCATTAAACATCTTTCTAGTCTCGTTCGTTAGTGGACATATGATAAAGATGAAGTCACTTTGAGCAACCAAATCCATAAAAGGAACAAATTTTGCGTTGTACTTTTCAGCTGCTGGTTTTGGACGATGACCACAATATAAGAATTGACCTACATTAAATCCAGTAAGCCTCTTCGCGATTGTTTCACCTATAGCTCCGAATCCAACAATTCCAACAGTTGAGTCACGGATTTCTTGTCCCAAAAGCCATTGCTGACGACGTTCCCATTCCGAAGATTCAATCTTTTGACGTCCTTCATGAAATCTTCTAGAAGCTGCAATAGCAAGTCCTACACCAATATCAGCCACAGCATCATTGAGGACAGTTGGAGTATAACCCAATGGAATTTTTCTACGCTTAACTTCTTCCAAATCTACATAATCAATTCCAACAGTCATCGTCGAAATAGACTTTAGTTGTGGACCAGCCATGTCCAGCACTTCAGCATCAAGTTTATCAGGATTTCCCCAAAAGATTCCATCCATTCCCTTAATTTTTTGAAGCAGTTCCGATCTATCATCAGTCTCTACGACTGTAACTTCACATTTTTCACGTAACAGCTTTAATCCAGTTTCAGGAACATCATTATGAGTAACAAGAACTTTTGGTCGCCAATTTGGATCTTTAAATTTGATATCCTTGATGTTAATCATTATTTGGTAGAGTCTAAAATGAGATAAGACAACGGGGCTTGTTAAATTATTCGGTAACAATCACATTTTGTCTGTTTGCACTCTTACAAAATCAAAGAGAACCTGACTTGAACTCGATACTTCTACTAGCCGCATACTCATACCAATAAGCTATTAGAGTTCAAATTTTGAATGCCGAATATTGCAGATCTATAACTCCAACAAGAACAACATCTTCAATAAAACGTTAAAGAATATAATTCACATTACATCATCAGTCACCTTGAACGATCCCAATTTTTCATCACTTCCTACACCTCTTATAGATTGCATAAATATGTAAATCAATAAGAAAGAAATTCTTCAGCATAAGAAAAGTGAGAATGGAGACCGACAAGGTGTGTTTAGTGAAATTCTTTCATTCAATTCGTACAATATGTGCCATTACTTCAAGATTACAGCACAGCAGAGAAAAATAATCAATATGAACCAATTATGTCAGCCACAAAAGGCATTTTCCGTTTCTCGACATTAAAAAAATATTTGCTGAAAGCTTTAAATCTGAATATTGGGATAGGAAACAAACAATCGTAATGTGTGCTAAAGTCGGTCAAAGCTAAAGGAATTTTGTGGTGTCCTGACCAAAAAAATCAATTTCTTTACGCATTTTTCTTTTTCTGTGAGAGAGGCACTCCTTGACTTTTCATTTAATACTTTCATATTCATAATGTCATTATTAATATTAATAAGAGCGGAGCATGTGACGTGATAGCTAATCATAATTTTTTTAACAGCGTTGTTGATTATACGACATAAAGTACATGAAGCCATCCTCAACATTTTATACAATGTGATAAATACGTAAAGACCGTCAAGGTTTTTTGATGTCATAAACAATGGTAAAGCTACTACTGCTGATAACTATTAAAAATGACATTCTTTTACGATTTGTGGATTTCTATACAAGCATTATGAGATGTCGTAAAAATGTAAATTTAAGATGATATCAGTCAAAAGACAATAGTCGATTTTCTAGCTGAAATTATAGAAATTTATTGCAACAATTTATTTTATGTCCTCATTCGTATAATATTATTGTAGAATTTAATTGACGATAAGAACTGATTTTATTTGATATGAGAATTTCGAAAAGTTATATTATCGAGCACTATAATTAGATTGAAAGTGCTACTAACCTTCTGGCAATAATCAGATACTTTTAATAATTTAGGTTATTTGCAAGGGGAAAACAACTCGAATCAGATCAAAACTTTTTCTAATCATGTTGTTTTTCTCTGAGTTCTGTGGAGGAAGTAGGAAATGTCTAGTTGGATTCAAGTGCTTTCTCGATCAGTTTTGATGAAAAAACTATCGAATTTCGCGAATTCTATAGAATTCATCAAAACGAATCAGGAGATTGAACTTAAAATAGTCAAAATATTTCAAAGTGATAAAATTGATTTCCTAAAACAACAAATACCTTATTTAAGTTTGAATTAATTGATAAGTCAATTAAGAATTGAGTTTATCAGATTGAAATCATCTAAAATCAGTACAAAAATATAATCCAACTTTGAAAAAGTTTGAAGGACAAGCTTACAATTTTAATACTCCATTAATCCAATGTCTTCATATGAATCACTTAGTTTCTTGCACTCTGTTCAAACAAATCAAAGTATTTATATCAGAATATTGTTGGTAAATATAAAAGTTCAAGCACATTAACACGTTTTACCAATGAATATACGGGACTAAAGTAATTGCCTTCTGACAGTGAAGTATATTCAAAGGTTGGTAATTTGGACTGTGACAGTCAGTGAATTATTAATGTTTCATATTTACTCGAATTGGAATAAGGTTAAGAAGAATTTGTCTGTGAGAAAAGTTCAATTGTCTTCTTGAAGTAATTAATATCTTGAGCGATTCCCTGATTGTAACTGAATGTTTATCTCAAATGCTTAGAACAAGTGCCATAAGCGTAGCCAGAAGATAATAACTTGACACCTAAAAGCCTTTTTGTGATTGAAATTTCGTTTTTAGAGAAGAATGCAAAGAATTTGCAAAAAATTCAAACCTAAACTATACAAATTACCTTTCTTTTTCAAATAAATTGACTTTGATCAGACAGATTCTGAAAATTTTATTAGACTGATTCTCAAAACTACTTAACAAGTTTTTCAATAGGAAACTTCAACATGTTAAAGATCAAATGTAGATGAAATTTGAATTCAATTATTTCCAACCATATCATGTCATGTCATTTCTATCATCATGAAGTCATGCCTTAATTCTAGCAAAATAGCAAATTAATTTACATCCCTTTGACCAAAAAGGGCACCTTCCTGAAAAACTTTTCTCATTTTCTTCTTTGTGGCTACTTTAAAAAAATCAACAGCGAAAAAAAAATTTATTCAATGAAAAACAATTTGCAAGTTTTCACAGAAGAAAAAAAATCTTTATTAAATTCCATATAAACAGCTTTAGGCATTATGTTGGTCCAACGCAATCTTTCTTCTGTAACATGAAGAAGAAAGGAAAAACTTTTTTTAAATTTTCTTTTCGGAAAATTTCATTTACTGGATCAAAAACTTCATCTTTAAGACTAGAACTTAACTTTTATCGAATTGTAAAAGCACAAAAAAATTTGTTTATTGTTTTTTAACTTTTAAGCTTTTTTCTCTCTCTTTTTCTCCAGAATTAACAAAAATACAAAACAAAGTAGTAATAATAATACTCGAAAGCATGCGGGAAGAGGTTTTTTTTTGTATCGTTAGAGAGTCGCGCACATGTATGAAAGAAAGAAAAAAAAATGTTTTTGTTGTAGTCGTAAAAAATACAACAACCAGCAGCAAGTATGAGCGATGAGAAGTAATTTCAGTTTACGAACTCAACAAATTTTTTTATTCTCATCATTGCTATTTTGACCGTTGCGCGCTTCAGTCGTACTTGTACTTTCCGTCTGTATCTTAAAATAATTATTTCATTTACGTGAATCTTCAACAAAAGTTCTGTGATTGATAAAATAGAAAATTTGGAAGTGAAATAAAAAAAAAGTTTAAATTTTGTGAAAATAAGAAAATAATTAAAAAAAATTAAAATTATGGCAAAAAGTGGAATTTTATTATTCGGAGCTTCAATCTTATTCGTAGCTATTACATTCCAGCAAGGTAAGCTTCTAACGATAATCGTCTATAATAAAAGCCAATTGTTACTTGCTGTTTATAATAAAAGATCTTGGAAATCATAATTATTCAGCCTTTTAGGTTTTTTTGGCTTGAATAAATTTAAAGACCTTCTTCAAGTTCACATTTCCATGCAACAGCCTTTGGCAGTGGTTCAAAAAAATAAACAAAATCATTTTCACTTGATGATATTTTTTTTTCTCATGATGATGATCGTAGAGCAAGCTATGCTGTACAAAAAATTACGCAACATAATAAACGTTGAGAGAGAAAATGTTTATGCTTCCATGGATCAAATTATGCTGAGCTGTTGTTTCATTTTTCAAAATCTGCGGATTTGAATAGAAAACTGACCACAAAACAGACTCGAGAGAAAGAGAACAATGTAGTCATAAGAAATCGAAAGTCTTTTAGTGAGCAATAAGAAGGCAAAAAGAATTGCGTGAAGTAAAAATTTCTTGTCTGATCTTTCTTTCATTCTGTTATTGTTTGCGGAGAGACTTATACATTAGTGAGGAAAACCTGTTTTTATATCGGTTCCGCCAAACGTATTTTTGAGCAAAACAAAACAAAAAGCCCGAAAATATTAAATTCCAACTTCCATTTTTAGAATGCGCGTCACATATGGCTTAATCATAGCCTCAAATTACTTTTAATTTGTTTTGTCTTAAATTCCTGATAAATGCAACAGAAATACTTGATAATTTAGTGATTAATAAGTTCAGTGACTTTATATGAATTATTAATTCCGATATGTTTATTTTCTGCTAGCAATTTGCGTGCCTAATTAATAAATCAAAGCATAGTTTACAATTTTATTTAAAATCCAAATCAAAATCATAACTTTTTGCTGTATTTAATTAAACTTTAATGTTATTACTACTGCCTTTTTTCATCTAAACGATGAGATTGCGTCATATTTAAGTCTAAATGGGATGTATGATTTCATGTTAGTTTATTAATAGGTAGCCGTGATATCGACAAACATGTTTCTTAATGGTCTGTAAAATACGGGAAATATTTTTGTTCTGTTTATGAATTTTTTCTTTTTTTCTTTTCATCTGCCTAGTTTTCCTTTTGATAAACGAAGAATTAGGACTTTGTTTTAAAATTAGAGGTCTTTCTATTGAGAAATTTCGTGATTAATAGTTGGAATTCAACGAGAGTTTTGATGGAAGTTTTTACTTTGTTTTATTTCGACTGTCAATTTCATTTTTTGATCTTGAATTTAAAACAGTTTTTCTTCAATCTTAGAAAGATAGTCTATGATCTAAGTGAATATTCACCACACGATAAAGATTCAATAGTCCAAAGATTTGAATTGTTACTGCTAATATTGATGAGCAAAAGAATCAAACCAATTCAAAACTTTATTTCAGATATTACACATTGCCGATTTGGATTCAAAGTTCAAAGTCAATTCAGAGTTTGAACAAAAAAAAAATGAATTTCAACTAATAATTTTTAAATAAACAATAAATAATATAGATTCTTAGACTGACTATCGGATTCATTCTTACAGAAGTTTAAAATTTAAATTGCCATATTTCGTACAAAAAACAATTCAAATTGAGATATTTGAAAATTAATTATTCGAATCTAATGAAATATCCACATGATTAGATTTTTAAATTCAGTCTACTATAACAATCATCCTCGATTTAACAGCAAGAATTTCAATTTTAATTCTCTCATGAAAAAAGAAAATACTGAATGACATCCAATAAATCCAATCATCAAATGTCTTTAAATTGTCAACAAAAATTTATTGTAAGTCACTCAGTAATATCTTCAGAAAATAAAGACATATCACTTGAGTAGTCATATTAATTGATGTCTGTTTTCACAATCATAAAGTCACATAAAAGTGAAATAATTTTAATCTCTTAACTATGCAAATATTTAAAAATTCAAATTTTCATCAATTAAGCAATTTAATTCCTTGTCAATTAGTCAATGACTCACGCGAGCGACGATGTGCTCTAAGCAAATTTATTACCGATAAAATTTGATTGTTATGCAAAAATTGTTCTCGATTTAATTTAAAAATAATTTTTTTTACAACTTTTTTTATTTGTTACTTGCTGTTTGTTTGTGAAAAACTAAGTTGAACACGTGATCAAACATTACAATTGTTCGAAACTTAACGATTATTTTATTGTGCATTACTTTTTAACGATGTTAATCTGTAATTAATTTTAAACATCAGAAGCTGTAAAACTATTAAAAGTTGGATGTAATTGCTTAGAAATTCATTAAATCATAATTTAAAAGTTATGACTCTTGAAAAAGATCAAGATAATATTGTTAATTGGAGCAGTGAGGAATTAATTATGATCCCTTAGAGAACCATAAACAAAATAATTTTAATTGCTGCTGATATGAGCAATTCACACTAACTGTATTTTCGGCATTAAAATTCACGATCGTCAATTTTTCAATTTGTTTTACATTTGTACAAAAAAAAAATGATTTCTGGCAACAACAAGTGTGTTATGGAATAAATTAAGCAGAGAAGTGCATAAATGTATGACAGAATAAATACTTACTTAAGGAATAAATACATGCTCATTTTCAAGGTGCTTCATGAAATATTCATGATTTTTTGATCAAAAAGAAGTCTTTCTAAGAAGGAATTCTTTAAAATGATTTATTACTCAAGATTTCTTGTAGACAGTTTTATAAATAAAAGTCATTCTCGAGAGTGCAAAGTTGCATTTTGTGAGGTTATGAAAAATTCTTGGTTCGATAAAGAGGTCGATTAGGTTACTTTTTGGAGGATCCTAAGTAAAACTTAAGTAAAGCTCTATTTCATGATTTGAAAGTTTAAATATTAGAGCATTCGACTGGAAATCTCGATCGCATTGGTTCGATTCTTGTTGACTTCTAATAATATTCTTGATGCTTAATACAATCACGAAGTCATTAAGTTTCATTCGATAGTGATCATAATAATTCAAATTATTAAATCATAGTCAAAACTTAAACTCTACGTAGATTATGGTCTCAAATAACATAATGCATGATGAATCATAATTAGAACAAAGCTCAATAAATCATCAATAAACATTTTAAAATTGCTAATTATAAACAACATAAAATAAAATTAAACATAATGTACTATAATCAATTATTTTGATGCTGATAATTTGTCCGCAATACGCTTAAGGTTCACCGCAGAACAAAGTCAAAAAACTTGAAAATAAAATATGTAAAAAATAATTCTACAGATTTGCATTATCAGCCGCAAAAAACAAACAAATTAGTATCTGACATTTGGCAGTCAAATGTTGAATTTTGCGACATATGATTAGATCAAGTTAATCGTTAGATAATAACGCGTTGCTGTGAGATGTCAGATTATTTTTCATGATTTGCAACACAAAAAAATTCACACAAAAATTTCATGAAAAATTCTTTCACGTAATCAATAATAATAAAATTATTTTTAGGAAGCTGGTAGGCGTCAAACGTGATGATATTAAATTGCCTTGTCTTATATTTATTTTATGCAAAATTTCGCATACACTTATTGCTATGATGATTGAGGCTTTGTGCATTTTTTGTAAAAATTAATGTGACATTACGTTGACTGGTTGGATGCTTGGCTGAATGTTACGTTGAAAAAGAAAGCTTGAAAATTTAAAATTGTGGAGGTGTGAAATTTTAGTGATTGAAAAATCTGTGGTGTTATGGTGATCAACTGTGGGATGCAGTCACGAGTTTTCATCAATAAATGCTCATTACCATGAATGATAATGAAATAATTGACAATTTTCAAGATAAGGTTGACTATTTTTAATTTTACAATGAATTATGACTGCAAGGTAGACGCATTGGGAGTGGGCAATTTTAATGTCGTGAGCTTTGCTTATCTCCCAAACTCTATGTTAATGATTAAGTTATAAATCTCTAATGGGAATCGAATCCACGTTTTCACAAAAGAAGAAACTTCCAGAATTTCGTTCAGTTGTCTAACATATCGCTCATAGAGGTCTTATTATCATACTGGTAGATTCGTCTATATAAGTTTTTGATAACTCATATTCGACTGCGCAGTTACCTAGCTGATCATCTGCTTCTTACTTCTCCTATAAAGCTAAAGGATTTTAAGAACTGTCATTAACCGTCTCGATACGTCCTTAATGCTTAGTTTAAGTCAGCTTGTGTTCATGGTCACATTGTAGGCACGATATCATATTGAGACTATCTTGTGGAATCTATAAAGCTATTCATATCTAATAAAGATATAAAGATTCATTGAAAAATGCGCCTCCTGCACAAAATTCTCCACAATCTCATTCAACAGTTGTCACTGTCTATCATTTTAAACGATTCACGGTGCGGCAATGAGAAATGCCTTTCTTCTTTGATTCTGTGACTGTGATAAAAATCTTTTCAATTGTTTTCTACGATAAATTGTTTTTGTCACTTGAGCGAGAAATGAGAGATAAACTTGAGCAAATAAGAGGAAGAAAAAGTTTATATATAAAAAGACCTACATACACAGCCACAACAGAAACAGAATCAACAGATGAATATTAATGAAGTGTGGAATTTCTTGTTCACATTTACTTACATCATTGGCATTGTTCCACACACAATATTGCTGCCTGGTGTTATTGTTGGATGAGATGTGAGTGAAGGAATTAATTCATGTCAATGCACACGTGTGTGAATATTTAGAAATTATTTTTCGTAATCAAAAGAAAGGAAAATTGCTTTCAACTTTTCATCAAGCAATACTCATCGACGGAACATAATAATTATTAAAAATTCGACTGTTTATAATATTGCGGTGAAGTCATGTTGATTTATGATGAAATAAAATCAATTTTTTTTCCGTATTATTGCTTATGTGTCTGCATAGTATCAACTAGCCGCTATATACATGCGGTATAAATTGAATCTTTATATTTTTTTCCGACCATATTCATTCAAGAATGAAAATGATGAAGGAAAAATGATATATTGAAAATTTTTCT